GCTTGTCACTCTAGATAAAACTGCAACCTGACACCTGAAACAAACACGGTTGACACATTTTGTTATTCATTGCAGAATAATTCTATACACTGACATTTTACTGCCCAACACTAAAACTGTCAAACCACTCAAACACTCTCTAACTGAGAGTCTGCAGCAGCACCTGTTGGATACCAGCTTTGTGTTTTTCATGAGCTCTCTTTAAATGTTTATGCCTACAACTGTCATGTTATCACTGCACATTGCTACACCTGTATCACCATGTTAGACAGTAAATGCCAGGCTTTGTCAGGTTTAAATGTGGTTCTTTTTAAATGAAAAGCAGCATTTAAGCAACAGCTGTGAGTCAGCAAGGACCAATAGACTTTGCAATCCTATAAACTATTGGTGAGCATGAACCAACAAGTATGTGCATGTAGCTGTGAGTGTCAGTTTGCTGTTTCACCTGAGTTAATGAGCATGTTAAGGAAAAGAAACATTTTGCAGGATTGAAAACACATTTCAACAGCTCTTAAAATATCCACTGAGTAAGATGGATTTTCAGACTAAATAGTGACCTCTGGGGCGGGAGTTAAGAGGAGACTTGACTCGTGGCTCAAGCTGCAACAGAGTGTGCACACGCCTCTCTGAATATCCATTTGTCCACTTGAGCAGGTTAGTGACTGCATATTTAATTACTGTGTAGTGGAAAAGCCATTCTAGTGTTCAACATGAAAAACACTATCAGTGCAGTTGCATAACTTCTCTGAAAACGCATCAAACATGTCGACAATGTTTATTGACAGCAATCTGTTGTTCTCATGTACCTCATTTATTCCATATGGTGTCTATCACTTCACCTCACAGGACTTGCTTGGTTGTCATAAACCTAAAAAAACCCTCTTGTTTATCTCTTAACCTGATCTGAACTGTCATCTGTCTTACATTACTCAAACAGCAGGGACATTTCATTAAATAAATAGCACGATCAGAATAATAAAATCTTTGAATGAAGGTGGTAGATTTAATCATGTTATTGTAATTAACACATCTTCCACAAGTTTTGTCTCCCCAGCACTCTTTCTTATCAGTTAACCGAGCAGATTTGGCTGTTATCAGACTTTTCCTCAACACATGTACAAGTGTACGTGCTAATTGATCTCGCCAGGCTGCTAAGATTTACTTCTGCAGACTGAAATTCAACAGAACACATTGTGCCAGCAAATTAAAAAAAACTTGCTGCAAACTGTGGCTTGCATGTTAATTAAATCTAGTTAGAAGAAATGAATGCCCATAGTTGCATAGCTTAAAGTATTGTTATGGAACAACAACCCTTGTTCAGGATGTACTGAAACCAGATGTACTTGTTTTTGCTTCTGCAGCGATACTTGAGGCTGTTGTGGTGAAGACATTTTCCCCTGCTGTGATTTAGGGCGGCTTAGCAGTGTGATATTACCGCCATTTTTTTGTATTTTTGCAAACTACTTTGTAAAGGGTACAGCAGGGCAGTGTTTCGTCTCATTATCTGCTTGTGCCTGCTTGTGCTCATCACCTGCCCTTTTCCCCCTCTCCTGACTCTCAGGTCTGTGACCCTGTTAACTGGAAATTTTCAGCCGAAAAGTTAGAAAGTTGTCAGTTAGTTAACATTGGGCTAAAAAGTCGAGGTTCTATGAATTCTTGTATTGTAATCCTGGGCTGTGAATTGCAGGATGTTGAATGGCAGAGATTAATCCTGCGCTTTAGACAGCACTTCTGCTGTGTCGAGTCTCTTTAGTGTAACGCTCTGGGACACTTTTCAGTCATAAAAAACAAAAGATAAAACTGTGCCTTGCCTGTAAAGTGGACGAGATCGGGCAATAGCAGGAAGGAATATGCAGGAAGTCACAGAACTATTTATTGTTATTATTATCAACCACACAAGATATGCCCAACAGGAGACTAATAACCTACAATCTAGAGTTAAATATTGCAATCGGTCAGATTGCAGGATTTTCTACTAAACGTGGTGTATGTGGTCAAAACTAAGAGCCAATCTTTGATCAGGCTATTAGCTAGTAGTTTCCCATCATGCCCTGGGTCTTGCTGTCCGTGGAGAGCACCTGCGGCTCCTGGCTCTAAAAACTGCAGCTGCGGCGTTGCCCACATGTGCATGAAATCAGAGCAATTCGGCATGAACTTGGACACAAATCTAACCAGCATGCATCATGAGGCCATCGTTGGCTTGTAAACAGCGCGGAATTTCCCTATTGCAATTATTGCGACCGCCTTATTATAGAGATAAAGATCAAATGTATTGTGAAACTAACTCATTAGAGCTTGTGGCCTTCATCAGGGACATGTTATGACCTTCTCCGACAATTTCCCTTCTCTTTACACCCCTGCAGTAGGTGAGGTTGTGCCAGAAATCCCTACTCTACTGTTTCTGCAGCGATCACGTAAAACTTTATAATAGAGGTGAACACGTTAATTAATGGTTTTAATAAATGTAAAATTAATCATTTATTAACTCCTCACGGGGACACGCATCAGTGTACCACCGGGATTCTGCAGGTTTTCATTCAAGTTAAACAGACAGATTTAACTTACTTGAGCACCTTCACCCGAATATGAGAATCTGAGTGAAATCAGCTGTTGGAGTTTTTATGTGGAAAACCTGCAGCCCTCCAGAGCACATCAAAGTTATCAATCCCTATAAATATTTTGGTCAAATTAAAATAATTAGAAGGAGCTATATAAAGGTACAACAAGCACATTGTCTTTTTTATATGAATGTTTCCAACAACAATGTGCAGTGGTCATCAGACTGCTGAGGTTTTTTCTGTCCTAAACGTACGAAAATATTCTATTTTTCCAACAAAAGGTACACTTTTTGTACAATAATTTCATGTAGCATGATGAATCAGAAGTTAACATTTATTTCCTTTTAAAGGACACAGATTCTCAAAGCACTGTCTTTATCTGTAGTTCCCCATGTTTTCTGTTGAAAGGGGATTTTGCTGCAGGAAATGACACATTGAATCATCACTTTACATTTTAACTAAAATAATAAGAACAGATCATTGTGACACTATTGTCTGTTTCTGTTAGTCATTAGTTCATTATTTATTAAAGTATGGATAAGTATGAACTAATTATGTCACTGCATAAAACCTTCCCATTATTTTGCCATCATTCAGTAAATCTACTGTAAACTAACAAAAACACTTGTGCTTGCCATTATTTTTTTTATCTCTGGGATGCACAGCTTTTTTCTATAACTGTTTACATCAAATAGCTAATGTTATAGTTATATTTGCCTTCAAATAAGTTGTGCCTGTTCTGCAGCATAATGACATTCAGTGTGGTGATTGTAATTTATGTGGTTCACATATGGATGTTTCTTATTGTAATCACCGGGTTTAGGGGAGAGCTTAGTCTCCATGGTTACTGTGCATTTATGTGTGTTTGAGTGACATTAAAATGGTAAAATTAATTCAAAAGAAGAAAGAATTCAGCTTCAATACAATCCATTTATGCAGGATGGGAAGAACAATGTTATTTGAACAAATGTCTCTTTAGGGAGTAAATGTAATTTCCTAAATGAGAAATAATAATTAGAATTTCTGAATGGCATCAAACCTTGAATAATGTCCTGTAGTTTTACGATAAAAAGTCTCTTTTGTCATCTGAGGGTAAACCATTTTTGCTCTTTTATAAAAAAGTGAAACATGTGCTCCGTTGGACCCAGAAATGAACTGAATCATTTATGTTGCTGTTTTTGTTGTCTTGATTTGAAATCTTCAGGATCCACCAGTCAGAGTAGCCAAATTAGGCAAGGTTCACGCCGCAGGAAAAGGGCTGCCACCTCCAGACCTGAACGTGTTTGGCCTGAAGGTGTTATTCCTTATGTCATCAGTGGTAACTTTAGTGGTAAGTAATCATTTACTGATCCTCCTCATGAGAAGAAGAAAAAGAAGAAGAGTCACTTTTGCTTTCCTAACAAAGAATATATTTATATACATGATCTAATGTAGCATGCATGCTCAAAAGTCAATATATATATATCCCTTAAAGGTCAATAATTCTTAAAAGTATAAAATGTTATTCTTGAATGTGGTTATTGATGGTGTCTTCACAATTCACAATATTTTCCTTCGAAAGGAGGTGTTGATGCAGGAAATAAAGTACTGAGGCATCATCTTTAAATGACTAAATGAGACTAATTCCTCAAAATGAATAACGAAATAAAGAAATACATGTAATCTAGTCATGTCACCTTTAAAACAAGTTTGCGTTGTGCTCGGTAATTGTTCAAAAGCAAACTAAGAAGTGCATTTTTTTTTATATAATGAATACAAGATTATGAAACTTTGAAAATATTTATAAAAAAGGTTACGTTATGACGGTACACATCTCATTGTGACTTCATTTCCTGTAACTCTGTATCTAACTCCATGTCCTAAAGTGGTTTCCAGCTGTCCTCTTTTCTATTCATCTCTTCTTTTCAACAAAGCGCTGTGTGTGTGTGTGTGTGTGGTGTTGTGTTGTGTGTGTGTGTGTGTGGTGTGTGTGTGTGTGTGTGTGTGTGTGTTGTGTTTGTGGTGTCTCTGTGTAGAAGAGAGTGTGTTTTGTCAGCTCCACTGATCCACCCTTTCTGTCTTCTATCAGGCAGCCAGCGGGCTATTTCGCCAAGCCATGCGGCACTGGGAGAAGCACACCTGGTGACCTTATGAGGGAAGCAGAAGAGAGCTATATTGTCTTCACCTACCGACCATGCGTGTGAGTCATGGGTTTTGTAGCTCCACATGAAGGAACTGAACAATGTCCATGCTCTGTTAGCTCGTTATCTACTAGCTAATTATTTGCTCTAAGCACTCTTCCCGTCCTCTGCTCCGGCAGCCTTCACCATTGTTCATCCTCCCTTTTCGCAGTCTCTTTGCAGTTGTTATTCAGCCCCTACCAGTCCTGAGAGAGACGGCCTTCAGTGGCCAGGAATGTTCCTGTCTCCTCATTCACACTGCATTCGTCACTGAGCACTTGTGTCATATATGGTGTACAGAATTTCACCCAAGCGCTTCCTCACCTTTCCATAATCCCCTGTTTCTCACTCCACTGAAGTTGTGCCAGTGTCACTCAGCCGTTTCTTCTAAACAGATACTCAGGGAAGTGCTGGTTGTGGCTCTGTTGTTTGCTAAGCGACTATTGACAACCTGTGTGGACGGAGCTTTTATTAACGATGCATTTTTTTCCCCACTTGCTGCGTTGAACACCAGACCAGTGCAACCTATTAATTTGAAATTTCAAGCAAAAAGAGCAACTGTTAGGAAAAGTAAAGGTCCAGGGACAACACAAATTATGTCCCCATGTTGTTTAACCTCAACGAAAGATTTAAACCACAAGCTGAACTATTATTGTCATTACACACAATGTACCTCCTCCCACTGATATATATCATTCAACACACAACCGCTAACAAGTAAGCGATCAGCCATGAACTGAACTTTTTCCAGCCAACTGTTGATAGCCATTTTTTACCTGGTAACTGCTCTGGACAACAGGGATACTTATCCACGCAGGCGCAAGTGGTTAGCAAAGGGGTGGGGCGTGGGGGCGGACGCCGTTTGATCTGTGCATATTCAGCAGGCCCATCTGTCCTGGCAAAGTTCAAGGCTGTCTCACGAGACAGCTGCCGGGCTCGCAGTAATTAGAGAGCGGAGTCTGGCAAGGCCGTGAGGTGCCGTCTCCAAGACTCCCACACGAACTTTAATGTAGCTAGACGGAGCGCTGCACCAGCCAAGTCCAACTGTCACACTCAGCGTTTGGATTGGCCAGACCGGATGAAGAAATGAATTGTCACTAGCTGTTGTGGATGAGGTCCCTTCGTACCAGCTCTCCTGTAAAAGAGAGGGTTGTTAAGATAAATGTTCGGTTCCCATTGCAACCTCCTTAATAAATGTACACTAGTATAGCATTTATAAGAGCCACACAGACACATTCCATCTTCTTCTCTCCGTGGGAAAAGACGTTAATTTGGCCTCTCACTTGGTTGTTATGATTTTTTTCAATTTACTAAACATCAAAGTCAGTCACTATATTTTGGTTTTGTTTAACACCCCTCTGTGCTCCGTGTGGTGTGTGTGTGTGTGTGTGTTGGTGGTGTTGTGTGTTGTTGTGTGTGTTTGTTGTTTGTGTGGTGATGTGTCTGATTCATAGGTGCTGCTCCTATGTGGGTCGTCGCGGAGGGGGCCCCCAGGCCATATCCATTGGGAAAAACTGCGACAAGTTTGGCATTGTGGTGCACGAGTTGGGTCATGTGATTGGATTCTGGCACGAACACACACGACCTGACCGAGACGAACACGTCAGCATTATCAGGGACAACATTCAACCAGGTAGGTCAGAGGCACAGGCCTCTCACCAATCCCTCAGCAATAATGTTGGAAAGATGCTGTGAGAGGCCAAATAATAAAAGTAACACATCTGTACACAAGAAAGTTTGGGCTAAGATGGTAAAAACAAAGAAAAAGAAAACCACTAGTGGGTTAAATGCTCATCTTCAGCCTGCAGATTTTTATAAAACCAAGTGTTTCTTTGTGCTGTCAGTAGCCTCTTTGTATGATAAATTTTTCAAACAGAGTAGAACTGTATTCACCTTTGACATACATACATAAGGTTGCACAGTATGACTCAGCTTCATATTTCAGCTGTGCTCTTCCCTTTTTCCTTTCACAGGACAGGAGTATAACTTTTTGAAGATGGAGCCGGGGGAGGTCGACTCTTTGGGAGAAGTCTATGACTTTGACAGTATCATGCACTATGCCAGGAATACATTCTCCAGGTAGGAACCAAGCCAAGTTCCAGCCCATATGCCCCAGACATGAAAACTAGTCTTAGATCAAGTCAGGCCAAGCAGTTTCCCGCTCTGCTGCAACCTTTTAACCCTTCATCTTGTTTTCCATTTCTGCTCACAGAGCTTTATGACTGTATAGATCTGTAATGCACTAGGTCTGTGTCCTGCTGCTGAGTAATGTGGCAACATTCCCAAAACTTAGGAAGAAGAAAGAATGAAACACTTAATTCTCCCCAATAATAAATCAGTAGAAAACTGACACGTAGCTTGAGGCCATCACTTTAGAAAAGGCTCACTGTTCCTTGAATGTCTGTCTTGGATCTGAATTGTTTCGTCACCGTTTGGGTTTAAGTGCAAAGAGATAGAAACTGGTTTCTTGGGAGAAAGTGGGTCTTAAAAAACACATTTGTGAAGCTCCTATTTTGAACAAATGACTCTCCTCTTGTCTGAGTTTCTTTTGGCTAGATTTTTTTTTCAACAATCAGTGTTCACATTACATGGGGCTTAGGGAGAGTGCGGGAGCATTAATGTGATTTATGTAATATTTGGACAAGATTAAGTTGCGTATTGCTGTATTGGGAATATTGAGGGTCAAAAACTAATACACTTGTGTGAAGTAACTTGTAGCAAGAAATCTGATTTGTCCAGTTCCACTTAGCTTTTTCCTTTTGGACCCAGAGTGGATCAGAGTAGATTTTTTTTCAGCTTCACATCTAGCTGAGTTGTTGCTTCATAGGTTTTACCTGTTCTGGCATCCACAACGGTATCTTTTACACTTTTCACTCTCATTCTGGCTTTTGCAGCATTAGCAGTATGGCAGTAGGAACACAAGCTCTGAGCTAATACAAATACAACCTCTCTGAAAAACTTAAAATGATTCATATTATTTTTTTTTTCTTTTAAAGCGAAAGCCAAGTCTTTTGTAGCTGTAGTGAAAGTGCCAGCTCCTTCCCACAGCCTGTTCAAATTAAGGCTCCTCTCCTCTGTTTCTACTGCAGCCCCAGTAAAACAGCATCAGTCCTGGGGCTGAGCTAGCCCAGTAGCCCTGCTTCATCACAACAAAATTTTTGTGCGCCACTTTCAAGGCTATGTGAAGCTTCTTGTAAAAGCTGTGGTTTCATACTATGAACCACCTCATTATGCTCCTGAAGGCCCTTTGAAGAGGCTTTGATGATTAGCATCATGATGTTCACCCTAGGCTACTGCAGGGACTCACAGATTCATTTCCTATGTCTGCTGCGAAGCCTTTTAGCACCTCCAGAGTATTCAGGTGTTATAATACATGCCATGCTACTAAATGTCACTCCAGGCACAATTTAGGTCAATTTCTAATAATCACCTACATATGGTAAGGAAATGAGGAGTGGAAATTTTGCCTCAATTAATGTTTCCCTTACATATGAAGGAAAAGTTCTGCCAGCGCTCCCCAGGCTTAGTAAATAGATTCACATAACTTTAAAAGTATGTATCTTAGAATAATGACAGTAGATAAACAACTGATAAATAGGCTTAAGGGAATAAACCGTAGTTTGTGAGATCTAGATGAAATAAAATTTGGTGTTGAATTTGGTGGATACTGAAAATGTATAGAGAGAAACTCTTTACTGTTTATCCTCTTAATTTTGTCACCGGCTGACCTCATTCCTTGTTGCCTGTTGAATGCTACAGGAAGCCCCTCCAGATGTTGTGCTGTCATCCAGCACTACACATTGGTATTACAGTGTCAGAGGAAGGATCTTACTAGAAAAAGCCCCATGACAAACACTGGTCAGTCTGGCTGCGGTGGATTTGAAGTGTTATTTACCAGCTGGGTGACTGCGAAGCCAAAATAGATCTCTTGGGAGAAGTTGACTCAGATTCAGCTTCTGAGTCATCATTGTAATTTCAAAAGCATCACTACACTCACTGCAAAGTGTTTTCTTGACAACCTGTCCATTTACATTAAATTATTTCACAAGCTTTGACAACCTAACTTTACATGGAGTCATATAAATATTATGGTTACCTCCTGCTGCCATATGCAGGATATGACTTCAGTGTTGTGTATGAAAACTGTAGATTGACTGTTACCTCTATTGCATAGGTAAACAAAATGGGAGGGGAGTCTCTTGGACAGCTATGCAGTCTTCTACCTATAACAGGAATAGTTTTGACAGCCTTTAGTAAACCAGAGTGGTTGTAATGTGATCTGTGGGCACACGTGAGTCAAAGCAAAAACAAGTGAGCCCAAAATGTGATCATTACTACCTCACTCTGATATGAGAACCAGCTGTTGGGTGTCCTTTTGTTCTTACTTGGCCCTCTACGTCAGCTGTATATATTTTTTCCCCACCACAAGCTTTCCCATGCCCAGTGTAACTCTGTCAGTGTATGGGCCTCTTCCCAAATCAACTGCCATGCTCCTGCGGCAAACAGATTCTGGGAAGCAGAGAGGGAATCTTTGTCTAAACGGAGGCTGCGGCTGGGTGTAGGCCAATGTACAGAAATGCCTGTCTGGCCCTGTGCATCCAAACTGTAGGTCGAGAATGCACTTCACACAGAATTTTTTTTTGCAGAATTTAGATTTTGTTTGGTTTTAGGGTTTAGGGGCTGTACAGGAAAACGTGAAAATGACGGAACTGAGAGGCATAGAATAACATCTGCTATATTATAAAATATGAAACATGATACTCCAAGAATCCTTTTACTTCATACCAACAACCATTTCTCTCTAAAAGGCGTTTAGGTCTACAGGATCCTTTTGGTGACAAATTGCACACTGCAGCTCATAAATTGTTGTATCTTCCCCCCCAAAAAAGTCAGCTCAGCACTTTAAGAAAGGCACTCCATTCAAGTTGCTGTCACTCTTAGGTCAAGATTTGGACTTAACTTAATGATCTTGTAAATTTGTGGTATGCACTACAGTCCTGCCCCAAAGTGTGTTTATGTCGGGTAATCCGCCCTGTTCTGTTTTCACTCCAACTCGGACTCTGTTGCTATCCTAATTTGTGGAACTGTGTTGATCAATAGGACTGTTTAGACATGAGAGAGGAATGGCTGCCACTGCTGGGGAATGTTTCACAGAGTTGTATTAGCAGACAAGGGGCTCCTGTTAGCTTTTCACAAGTCATTCCAAGCTGTTTTTCTTGAGTGCTGATTGGCTGATTTACCTGTGCCAGTGTCTTTCTTCATTACCATATTATTAGCCAGTGTGTTTGCTCGGTGTTTTACAGTAAATCACCGTGGGAAGCCAGGGCCTTTGCCGCGGGTGTTGTTCGGAAGATTTCATGGCTTGTCTTGATGTTTTGCTCTGTCTCCTGGGGACAAGCAGAGCTGATCCCCGTGCTTTTTGTCTCAGGCGTGTTACCCGACCCACAACTTTCCTGCCCCCTCCTTTGCTCCAGAGATATTTTTCAGGACTGGTGCATGGAACAGTGCCAACTCAAATAGAGACCTGCCAGTGTGCCCTTTGTCTGCTCTGACACCGGCTGGAGTGGCGTTTTTCACCGACAGCCAGCATACGGGCTCCTGGAAGCTCACAGAAAGACAGGGAGGCAGAGTCTAAACTGTTAGCTCAGGCTGCTCTGTGTGCACATGCCTGGCGTTGATAGGCATGTCACCATGGGAACGGCCAGGGAGCCAGGCCGTTTCTCGCCAATAGTTAGAGAAAAATGGAGATGATAAACTAGCAAAGTGTCAAGTGAGACAGCAGTGTGAAAAGAGTCTATCTGAACTAACTGTTCTGTTCTGCCATTTCTTTGAAGCTACGTAGATGATTTACCTGATTGTTGTTTTTTTTTTGTTTTACATTTTTCATTTTGAATTAATACCAATACATGTGGCTGTTGTTCATGCACCCTCCTTTTTACAGCTTATGCAGTTTACTTTGATCGCTGAATGACTCTGGAGAAGGGCCTAAGCTCTTAGTTTGGGTCCATCTGTAGGGCAGACATGTGTGAAGAATGATCTCAGCATTAACTTCAAAAACAGACTGTGTGACCTCGACCTCAAAGGAAGACTGTGATAAGTGACTGCAACTGTCCATCTGTTGGGTTGTAGCTGACAAGTAAACCTGAAAGAGTGAGAAAGTAAAATTTATTAAAAAAATTACCATTTAAATGAATCATAAGACCCCCAACCTACACGCCTGCAAACACTTTGACATGTGTGTGTATATATAGCAATTTTAAAGCATAATTAAAGCAGAGTTAAAATGATTAACTTTTTCATGTTAAGATAACATCAATGGTCTATGAAGTGGAAAATGGTTATATCCTGGATAATTAAAAGTGTTTATTGATAGATAAGAGCTTAAATTAGTTTATTACAGTACAAACAGGTGGGTCAGTATCAATAATGATTATACTCTTGTCTTGTGTACATATACGTGTGGGTGTGCTTGATGATAATTTAACTGGTGCCACATCTCATTACAAGCAGTCTGTTAGCATTATGTGTTTTGACTATAAGAAACGGTGATGGGTACATTGGAAATGTCACATGCATTTAGACATTTTACCTTAGCAAATGCACAAGAGTTACCAGAATTAAATCTCAATTTAACAGCTAATTCAAAGTGAATATGAAAATTAGTTCTCCGTGCTCCTCTTGTCTTGGATTTGTGGTATTTTTATACAAAACAACCACATTGTGTTTGGCTTAGTCAAGACTGGCAGTACTCATTTTCATCATGGTATTTAGAAGTCTCAATCCTTTAGAAAACATTAAGAACAATGTTGACAGTGATTAATTTGCTCTGATCAATGGTAAATCACTTAATCTTTGAGCAACATGTTTTGTGGCGTGCATTGCATGTTGGAAAAGCTATCAGGATTGTGTGCATGTTATCTGGGTTTCATGCGACCTTAACAGTAGTCTCTCTTGCTGAATTACAGAGGCATCTTCCTGGACACCATCCTGCCACGCTACGATGTGAACGGAGTGCGACCACCCATTGGCCAGAGAACCAGACTGAGCAAAGGGGATATCGCACAGGCACGCAAACTCTACAAATGCTCCAGTAAGACCAAAATGACAGATCCTGTCTGCTCTAAAGTTTTTCCTGGCTATTTTTGCATGTGTGTGTAACATAGCCCTGAGAGAGAGGTCTGTAGTCTTCTTCTGCCTTCCCTAGATGCAGCTCACACTGTGTGGAAATAGCCATGCATCTACTATTGATGTGGCGTGGTTCCTTGGCTAAAGCGTCCAAGACTCCCGAGCTGGGAGGAGTGTAAACACTACCAAGGGACAGGAAGTTTGTCATCACTCTTTCCCAGATAGACGCAAAGGAACAGCTGGTTTCGAGAAGACAATGACTAAAATGATTGTTGGGAACAACGCTCGTGTCCACACATCACAGCATGTACAGTGTAAACTGTGAGGCTATATACTAAGGAGAGTTACATAAGCATGGCACTTTTCCGAACCACTCACTTTGTTTATGCTTCAAGAGAGGAGAGAAAGGATTTAGTGCTGTTGTAAACAGAATTTACAGCATTAACAGATGTACATTGAGAACAGCCTTCTGCTCAATAGATTTGATGTCAGACAGTTAATTGTAGGTCAGGCCAGGATAGCTGAGCTGTCAGCCTCACATTAAAGCTCAATGAATAAACAGAGATGGTCACCAGAGCTCAGCCAGCCGCTGTGGTTTTAGTGTAGAACTGGAAGTTTTAATCTTAAGTGAATCTTATGTGTCTGTGAAAGTGTTCTGTCTCTTTCTTCACGACAATCTCTGTCTCGTGAGGAAGAAACAGACTGGATGATGTGACGCACATTGTGGGGGATGAGGTAGTGAGTCTCCACATGTTCTTGAGGGGAAAAAAATCCTTAAAGAGCCACGGATCTCCCATTCATGCAGCATTCCTGGGAGTGTTTGTCATCCCTGGTGTGTGCCCGAGAGCTTGTTAATAGTTTAGTATTGGCAAATCTCTGCCAAGCATTATTACACACAACGCGTAGCTCAGGGTTGCTCGTTTTTATTGCTTACACACAAGCCTCGAGGGAAGCAATGAACTCAAACAGTGGAGGGAGATGTTTTCCTTGCTCCTGCTTAATGCAGCCCAAGGTAAAGATAACATAGAGGTAATAATGAATGCATACACACTCCTCAAGATGGACAGCTGAAGATACGATCTACTCTCTATCGTTTCCTCCCGTCTTAATTAAACACATCGCTCCCCCACTTGGCCTGAGCCTCAGTCAGACGTTCCATGAGGCTGTGTATTGTGTTTGGAATCAGTCCTCACACACTTGCACACTTAGTTTTGCCAGTCAAACTAAGGGTGGTTTTTCACTGGCAACACGTACATAATGCATCACAGCCTCCAGAGGGCTGGGTTATTTATAGTGGGCCAGGTTTATTTTCAGATGCTCAGAGAAAGTGTCTCACACTCCTATTCGTTTGTGTGATTATCATCTGGAGTAGCTGGGGGAGGGGAGGGGTGAGGCACGGGGTTGTGGGTGAATATTATCAGCAGATGTGCCTTTGAACATAAAAGAGATGCCCTTTACTTCACATTTGGTGTTATTATTCCAGCATCTGTCTCTGCAGCGAGGTTTGTAGATCTTGAATTAGTGGCTTAGGTGTTTTCAGGCAGAGACTAATTGGCAGGGCATCATGCTTTCGGCTTAGGCCTTATGTGCGGGTCTGTGTGTGTTTGTTTCTGTGAACAGGATGTGGGGACAGTCTGCAGGACAGCAGCGGCAACTTCTCCTCTCCCGGCTTTCCCAATGGATACTCGGCCTACATGCACTGCATCTGGAGAATATCAGTCACACCAGGAGAAAAGGTCTGAGCATGTGGAAAGTGACCGGTCAAATTGGCTTAAAACAAACTTCACTGACTGTTTACCCAGATGTGGTGTCTCTGTTACTTCTTATTTATCTGAACATTAGCAGTGTGTGACATTTGGCCTGAACCATGTTAGTAATTATGCTCTCTTGGTTTTTTAAAGATCATTCTGAACTTCACATCCATGGATCTGTACAGGAGTCACTTGTGTTGGTACGACCACGTGGAAATCCGAGATGGATACTGGAGGAAGGCACCGCTCAAAGGTCAGTTTTAACATGAGAATACCAAACTAGAGAACTAAAGATTATTTTCCTTATAGATAAATCTGATTATTATAAGATAAGATAGGATAAGATTAGATGTTCCTTTATTGATCTCATGTAGAATAAATTAAAATGGCACAGCAGCACAGGGGAAATTTAGTGCAAAGAGCAGAAAAAGGATAAAAATACAATCAAATATAATAAAAATACAAATATAAAATATAAAACATATATAAAATAAAGTGTAATATGGTCCAGATGAATTAGAAAGTATTGTGCAAACTAACTTGTGGTTAACAGGTTAATAGTTAACAGTCAACAGATTATCTTTTCGATTAATCCACCACAAAAGTGATGGTTTCATACCATAGTGTCCTACCTCAGCCATGCAGCATTTTCTAAACATAAAATGTGAAAACCAAAGATGCTAATTGTGAGTGTAGTTCTTTTCTATTTTTGTTTTTTGAATATTGTCTCTCATTTCTTCTCTTATCCTCTCTCAATGTGTTTAGTTTCTGTGAAATAAAGAGCTGTGTAGAGGTATTTCAGAGCTACCGCAGGTGTCTTGATGATAAAATTCTGGTTTATGTGTGTGTCTTCACCTGTGAACCTAGGTCGTTTCTGCGGTGATAAACTGCCAGAGCCCATCATCTCCACCGACAGCCGACTGTGGATTGAGTTCCGCAGCAGCAGTAACTGGGTGGGAAAAGGTTTCTCCGCTGTTTATGAGGGTAAGCACCCGTTCCCCTGACCTCCCTGCACCCTATTCCAGCACATCGTTCAGCTGACTGAACGCATGGCCAGTCACACATCCAACAATGTGCCTAGAAGCTGCAGTAATATCCACAGTTTCTGGCTCCCCTACTGCTGATGTGTCAGGCACTTTACGCTGCATTAATCAGATTTTGGCCGGTCTTCACATTCAGTTCCATTGTTTCCAGACTGTGCAAAGGGATGGTGTGTTTGTGTGTGTGGGAGCTGGTGGTGCAGGCATTTTAGTTAATCCACGTTGCGTAAATCAGAACAGTGAGCACACGTTTTTTTTTTTTTTTTTTCCTTCAAAAGGCATGTGCTGATGATATTGCTATCAAGGGAGCTCAGTATTGTTTTTATTGTTTTTACTATCACATGCAGCCATCTGTGGTGGGGAGGTGAAGAAAGACAACGGCCAGATCCAGTCCCCCAACTATCCTGATGACTACAGACCCAACAAAGTATGCGTGTGGAAGATTACTGTAGCTCAGGGCTACCATGTAGGCCTTACCTTCCAGTCCTTTGAGGTAAAACACCAGTCCTTTGTTAAATATCAAATCAAAAAATGTTATTCGTGAATTTTATGACTGATTTGGAAATGTCGCTGATGTCCAACTCTAAGCTCAAATTCTTTAACCTTCCTCAGATTGAGAGACATGACAGTTGTGCCTATGACTACCTGGAGGTGCGTGATGGGAACTCTGAAAATAGTCCCCTGCTGGGTCGCTTCTGTGGCTACGACAAACCAGATGACATCAAAACCAGCTCCAACCAGCTGTGGATGAAATTTGTTTCAGATGGCTCCGTCAACAAGGCCGGCTTTGCTGCCAACTTCTTCAAAGGTCAGAGGTTAAGGGTTGTAAACTCATACCTGACATGTTTCAGCAATCACTCTGTCTGGCGTTGTATTTAAAATATTGCAGCTGTACCTTTTTATTTCAGATATTTTTATTTCACTTGCACCGTCGGGTTCTGTGTGATCCTCTTTGCCTGGCTCTGCTGTTGTTTTGGAGGGTTTCTCTTGTAAGCCACCGAGCCAGGGGGCCGGCTAAAAGGGTCCTAACACATCTTTGTGTTTTCAGAGATGGATGAGTGCTCCAAGCCGGACAACGGTCGCTGTGAGCAACGCTGTGTCAACACACTAGGCAGCTACAAGTGTGCCTGTGACCCAGGCTATGAGCTGGCTGCTGACAAACGCAGCTGTGAGGGTAAGTACAGGGAGAAAAGTCACCAGCCCTGCTCAACATGTAATTTACATGCTAAAGCACTTTACACAGTTAGCCACCCAAATACAATAAGTACAGTAATCCCTAAAAGCCAGGAAAGATGCCAACAGTGATGCTTGCGCTGGCCGGGAACTATCTTTTAAAGATTTGAGTCACAACAATGCAAGTATTATTTTTATCTCAAATTATATGTTGTTGTTTAAGACCTAATTACTAGTATACAAGCTGTGTGTTATCTGCTTGACCACTGTCTGCCCCTAGAGAAGATCCACTATTACTGCAGTTTTTTAAAATAAAATATAGAGCCGTAAAAATTAAAAAGAAGCAAATTACATTGAAATAACACAATCAGTGTTGATTGTGAATACAGCTCTCTCATATGCATTAATGATAAAATAATGCAGTCCAGTCACAACAAATATAATAGTATATGCACTCACATAAACGATCCCATAGGTACACAAACAGCGTGGCAGGGAGCATTAGCATTTTGCATCAGCTCTACTTTTATACAAGAGTATACTGTCATTTGAGCAACCTTGAAATAACAAAAAGGTAGTAATTTACTATCATATCTGCACTTACATGCAAAGAAAAGAGGCTTACATCTTTATTGCATATACAAATAGCTAAGCACATCTAAAAACTTTACAATCCACAACATCTATTGTAGTTGGTAGGGATCAACACTACACATTCATTTAAGCTAAAAATAACCAGGTGAGGGAATGGGTAATGCCAGTTGTTGTACCATGTTATGTATTGCGTAAAAGATACAAAGCTCCCAGAGTCCCCAGGGGCAGGTCAGGCAGTAATCGGGTTTATTCAGAACACAGAAAGGATATTTTAGAGGGCTTTCATGTTAGCTCTTGAAACATTTGGGGATATTTCTCTCTACACATCTGCATCTGTATCAAGCTAACTATTTGTCCTTGTCTCTTCCCATTTTGTGTTTTTTGTCCAGCTGCCTGTGGAGGCTTCATCACCAAGCTGAATGGGTCAATCACCAGCCCCGGTTGGCCCAGAGAGTATCCCCCAAACAAGAACTGCATCTGGCAGCTGGTTGCCCCCACGCAGTACCGCATCACTCTGCTCTTTGACGTCTTCGAGACTGAGGGCAATGACGTGAGCACTGGGGTTTTTATGAATCGGCACGGGGTGGGTTTGTTCTATTTTCTCTCTCTCTGTCATTGCACCACATCTATCTACCTTCATATCAAACAAAGCCTTGCTCTCCTACTCATAATTAAAAACAAATAAAATGCCCCAGCCTCTTCACATGCTCTGTTTCTCTGCCCAGGTTTGTAAGTACGACTACGTGGAGGTGCGCAGTGGGCTCTCCGCTGATTCAAGGCTACATGGCAAGTTCTGTGGGGCAGAGAAACCAGAAGCTATCACCTCCCAGTACAACAACATGCGCATTGAGTTCAAATCAGACAATACAGTGTCCAAAAAGGGCTTTAAAGCGCAGTTCTTCTCAGGTGAGTCCTCTGGGAGTGCTGTGCTCAGCATCACAAATCCTTTCAATCCGGCAGATGGAGCTGCTATATGTCAGTCTTGAAAGGGAACAGTAATCAAGGTTATGTCCTCTGTGCTTCCTCAGACAAAGATGAGTGCTCTAAGGAGAACGGTGGCTGTCAACATGAGTGTGTCAACACCTTTGGGAGCTACAGCTGTCAGTGCAGAAGTGGCTTTGTGCTGCATGAGAACAAACACGACTGTAAAGAAGGTATTCCATCTCAGATTGTTGTCTCTGTCATATGGTTGCAAATTCTTGTTCCCAACTTTCTGCAATCAGAGCAGCCACTGTGGTAAATGAGCATGTGCTTACTCAGAAACAGTTTGCAGTTTTAAGTGTTGGACTGTTCCATATTAGCATGATACAGAGGTCTGTGTTGACTCAGTGGTGTCTTTTTACAGCTGGTTGTGATCACACTGTGAATAGTGTGAGCGGTACCATCACCAGCCCCAATTGGCCGGATAAATACCCCAGCAAGAAGGCATGCACCTGGGCACTCACCACCACTCCGGGCCACCGCATCAAAATCGTATGTGTCACTTCCTCCTGCTCGCTGTATAATTTCACTTGTCAATCATGTATTTATTTGTGTGTGGCTTGTTGTGTAATTGAATTGCTAAATCCACTGAGGACATCTGTGTTTACTGTGCTGATGTCAGAAACTGTTATGCCATTCCTCACGATGATGTGTGGCTCCCCCTTCTGTTATTATCTGCATTTTTGTCTACTGTGTCACTGACATGCAGTGGATTATTAAAAAACTCTGCATTCACTGAAAGAAAATCAGTGACAATTCATAATGTCAAAGCATCTCATGCATGCCGTCTGTCTCTAAATAACAAAGCAAAAAAAGTTTTCTAGAAATAACACAGTTCACTGTCAAGATTATCTCATTCGATTTAAAAAAAAAGAAGCTTAAAATACTTAATGACCTCATAAATTTCTATTTATAACACACTTCTTTAAACATATCCATCATCTTGTTTTGCTGCAGGCCTTCAATGAGATCGACATGGAGGCCCACCTGGAGTGTGCTTATGACCACATTGAGCTTTACGATGGGCGAGATGGAAAAGCTCCAAGTCTGGGTCGCTTCTGTGGCACCAAGAAGCCCCCACCTATCATGTCTAGCGGCAATAAGCTGTTCATTCGCTTCTTCTCTGATAACTCTGTGCAGAAGAAAGGCTTCGAGGCTTCACATACTGCAGGTAAGAGTAGATGATGTTATAACGGTACTCAGTTTCTCTTCCTGCTGAAGAAAAAGAACACAGTAGTAGCTAAGGGGAATTCCTTTTCCAAATGTTTTTGGGGCATCAAGTTAATTGTAGGTCAATTACTCACATCAAACTTCACAAAGGTTTCTGGATGTAATACACACAGGATTTAGTTTTGGTCATAATTCACCACCCTGTCTGAGAATGATTATGACTCATATTTAACAACAGAGTGTGGTTAAGACTCCTTTGTATCTGGATGACTCTAAAACCCCAAACAAGCCAGAGACCACAGCAGCTGCACTTGCAGCTTATCAACACTGGCCTCTGCTTACACAATGTCCAGCTCAACTCAACTTTTCTGTTCACAGAGTGTGGAGGTCGCCTAAAAGCTGAAGTCAAAACCAAGGACCTGTTCTCCCATGCCCAGTTTGGGGACAACAACTATCCCGGAGCTTCCGACTGTCAGTGGGTGATCGCAGCGGAGAAAGGCTATGGCGTGGAGCTCATCTTTCAGACCTTTGAGATTGAGGAGGAGGCCGACTGCGGCTATGACTACATGGAGCTCTTCGATGGAGCTGACACCAAGTCTCCACGGCTGGGACGTTACTGCGGCTCTGGGGTATGAACATTTTTATTTGACAAATACAACGGGTCACAGCACATTTTCCTGTTTTTAAGGACAACAGCAGGAGTGTTCAGACAATTGTTTTGAAATTAGCGCTGCTGTTGAGTAACCTTTGCCAGCAGTTTGTAAAAGGGCGACTTTGTGAACTACCCTGGGGCTTTGGATTCCTTACTCCAGTTTTAATCACTTTGTTAAAGTTGGCGTGTTCCTCTGGTTTGGGAGTGTTGCTGTGGAGGTGGTTGTAGGTCGACACAAGTCATCACTCCCTGGGTGCCGATAGCCTATCAGAGACTCTGGCATTGCCTTGTAACCGCAAATTAATCGACCAATGCTGAGGCTGCAGCCGAAGTCTGGAACAATGAGGCCAGCAGGGAATAGAAACACAAGTTTCCTCAGTTCAGAGAACAGCTTGATCTCATTTACACACTTCAATAATAAGCTCTGGCCTTTTACTCACGCCTGTTCCTATGAATCATTTGCTGGAGGGGACATAACACCCCCAGAACCCCCGGGGAGTGGCTCCTCAATCAAGTTTCCTTTTATAAAACCGGTTGAAATAAACTGACACAATTCAGTCCAAAGTAGGGTGAAAACTCATTATAGTGCGGGGAGGCTTACTTTTAGCCCAAGGGCTTTTCTCAGTTAAATAGTAGACTACATATTGCTGGGTGTACAATAAAATTTGTAGACTGCTTTCTTTTTGTGTTTTAAATCCCTTTCCCAATAAACCAAGACTCATGGGCTATTGCAGATATATTAATCATGTTTTGAATGGCAGCTTTAATCAACAGTCTGGTGTTTTACAGTTGGTTGCACAAGCTTTGGCTTTTCTGACATTGCAGCGCTTCTCTTTTTTGCAGCTGCCTCAACCAACTAATTATTTTTCAGTATGATGTTCTGAATTAATATTCATGTGATACCACTATTCTGACAAACAGACAGGTCAAGTGTTGCATATTTTCTGTGTTCCATAATGCAGTTAATTTCACTTTTGTTTCTCTGGAAAGTTTGGCTGCCGTTATATTTAAGACAGTAGAAATATACGAATTGCTGTGCAGTAGGTTTTGTTCAGAAAGAAATGAGCTCCATGGAGAGGTGCACCTGGAACTAATCATCAGAGTATATTTTATCCTCACTTCAGTAGTATCCAAAGCTTTAATCAGGATAAAGCTGGAAAGGGCCAGTTCTAGTCCTGGATCCTTACGTGGCCCCTGGCTGTTAGAACCAGCAGCTCTCTGCAGTCAGAAGCCATTCGTCATGGTCACTGATTTGACTTTAGTTTCAGCATGGGAGAAGTCTTTAGTTTTAATTGAAGTGCAGTCAAAGAACCAGAAAGCGGCAGCACAAATGAATCTGTTGTTTTGTCCCTCCTGACAGCCTCCAGAGGAGATCTACTCGGCCGGTGACTCCATTGTGATCAAGTTCCGCTCTGACGATACAATCAACAAAAAAGGATTTCACGTCCGCTACACCAGTACCAAGTTCCAGGACACACTGCACTCACGCAAGTGACCAGCGGGGGCCGGAAGGGGCCGTGCAGGGCAGAGGGGCAAACGAAGGGGCCCCCAGGGGAGGCGCCAGCCTGACGCTCGGAAACCTTCGGCCACCAAGATGAATCAGACACGACCGAACAGCCGCAAGACCACCAACCGCACCTCAGCTCCTAGGGGCTCTAGCTCCCCCCACAGACTGTGAGGAGTAAAGCCATTCTGCAGTACACCTTGTTTTTACCTTTTTATGGTTAGGATTGGGGTGGGAGGATGAACGTCCGCTTTAGGTGGACAGTAGGGGAAAAGTTTTTGACCCATCCCCTCCAGATATTTTGTGTTTTTTCTTTCTTTTTTTCGTTTTTTTTTTAAACATGCCTCCTAATGAGAGGCACAAAGGAAAACAGTGGATTCTCAGGACCTGTAGGAAGGCAGGCATCAGCTGGATAGATCCCTGCTTTTGTCGGGCCAGCCCACCACATCCAGGGAGAGGAGAGGAAGACAAGGAGGAGTATGGGAAGGTCTCCTGCACTCCTCAATAATTGCTCTCCTCTCCTCACACTCTCACCCCTTTTGGTTCAAGGATTCCTATCTGTAAGAGGATTAGAAGGACTTGACTTGAGATTTTGATACTGTATGTCAGTCAATTGCATGTAATTACAAGAAAAGAAGGAAAACTGTACAGTGACAACACCAGCATTTGTAATTGGCATTGTCCTGGCAACCAGTGGCAAGATTCTCGTTGTTACCATTAACAAGGAAATTAAGGAAGCAGTTATCTTATTAAAGGACTAATAAATGAATTGTGGTCCATGTCTTCTGGTTGGTAATTGCTTGCCTGATGACTGGCTATTACTGTACCTCCATGTATAAAGTAATGTGTATGATCTTTCAAAGGGAACATGTGCTTTTCTCAGCTCGAACCAGTTAGCACTTTACAGTGAATTGTTCCAAAATCATGAGCTTATGAGTTTTTGTGAAATGCAATGCCAGTTCACTTATTTTTAAATGCATTTTATCTCTCTTATTCTTCATTGTTGTTTTTTTTTTTTTTTAAATTGCTCCATTTAGTTCCTCGGGCATACTTGAACATTGTGTGTGCCCTGTAACATGGGGTAATAAAGATATGACTTATGTTTCAGTGTTGATTTACAGTTCTGATGTAAAATAATTTCTCTCCAGAGAAAATGCCTTTTCATGGTACAATGAAGTATTTCTCAAGAACCAAATGAGCCTGGGTATTTATTGTTATAGTAATTACATATATAATGTAAAGGTGGAAAGGTACTGTTGAAATTAGCCCTATAATTGCCTTCTAATGTGTAGCCATTGGTCTATGTTGAATATACTATGTTGCTCACTTCCTCCTTTTCTCCATTTATTTCTCACTCAACACTATAAGAAAAATGTTGTGTAACATTGCAGCAGTCTGACACATCTGTTTGATGTCTGACCTTTGTTCACAATATTAACTGATAACTGTAACCCTGTTTTGTGCCATTTCAGTTAAACCATGTCCTGCATTGCACTGACAGAGCTGCTGGTTGAGTGCAATCCAGGACATGTGAGTAGGAGGAATAATACAGAACTGAGGACTTAAATGTCAAACTGGTCTGTGTTTGAAATGAAAGTTTAAAAGTTTCAGAGGATTTTTCTGACACCCAGCAAACACAAAAAAACAACAAAGCCAAATATAAATATCCCTTATTCATCTGATCTTCGATGCGCTATTTATAGATGGAGCTTGTCATTTCAGACTACAGCAGGAAATCATTTCCTTTTCCACCTTGCTAAATATTCATTCCCCTACATGTAACCTTACTCTTCCTCAAAATTATCCCATTACTATTCTGTTGTGCTTGCTTTCTATTTTTTTTTAAATAAAAACACGAGGAGCAGAGCAGCGTTGTTGCACAGAAAACTGCCATAGTGGCACGAATTAAATTGGCCCTCACTGTTCTTAACCCAACAAAAAGTACTGCAAAATACATGCACATGCAACAAGACTGCAGTCTGGGTAAACACCGTTTGGGAAAACACTTTAAAAGGATCAAAACATGCTTTACATTCATGAAGAAATGCAGAAGATCCCTGAAAGGTGCAGGTACATTTCCTTTTTAATAAACGTGCTTTCTTTGTCAAATCTTTTACTCAGTTATTACATGGGTGTCATTTATATTATTCATCATACATTAGATTTTTGTAACCTTTATCACAATCATCTGTCAGATTGAACACAGATGATTGTGATAAATTGTTGTCAATAAAAACTGTGAACCCATACTTATCAGAATTAACACAGATAAAACCATTAACTGGATTTCAGTATCTGTAGATCAGGAAACGTAACATCTTACCCTTTTGTTTTTTTATACACCAGCTGCACGTACTTGTTAGTTAGAAGAAAATGTGATCTCCATACAAGAGGTGCTCCTGTCAAAAATCACCTGCACATTTAAACAAATGTCAATGGACCACGGACATTCAAACTGACAGTAGAGACGTACTGACAACTGGCAACTCTGTTTTATTTTTCTGCTTTAACCAATAGGTCAAATAAAGCAGAGGACTCCTCAGAACAAGTCTGCCATGGTTTTTCTGCTTTTACTCAAAACACTTGTTTATATCTTCCTACTTTTGTTCCCATCACAATGAGCAGGAATGCCGCTGTATGTAGAACAACCTCCTTTTGTTTAATAACCAACATGAAACATTGATGCCCTGCAATTTAATGTAAAATCTGAGCCGATTCATATGAATAATTAATGACCGACTGGAGATTATGATGCTTTCTACTATAGCTCTGTGTGACTGTAAGCAAACTGTGACAGGTTCATCCTGCTCCGCTGCTCCGTTACATAACAATGCAGAAAAAAGCAGTGCTGAGCCTTCACTAAAGAAAAGACCAGAGGCTTTCTGCACCTGTTTTATTTGACATTCACAAATAACACACACACAAAACAGAAATATACTGCTCTTGTCGCAATTGAGTCGGTTGCTCTCCCTAACCATTATTGTGTTATGTGGTTTGACAAATGGCCCTCACCTTCACTGCAGGGCAGACTGGAGCCAGTGTCGATGGCTGCATGAGTGGTGCTCTGAATTGTGTGAGAGCAGAGGAGGGGGTAGAGTTGGTTACAGTGAGTGCCTAAAAGTGCGGTGGAGGGTGTGTGGAGGGTACACCTGAGGACCTGTCAAGAGGTCTCTTTCAATTGGTGCTGATGACAAAAATAGAGACCTTGAAGCAGTTTGAGATCTAAGATATAAACACGTGAAAGGGTCAGAAATCATATATTGTAAGCGTTGGTATACACAACTCTGAGTGAAGTGTGTGCTGGCAGCATCAGCTTAGTTCAGAATGTGAGAGCAACATACTCAAACATTTACATCGGACATTACATTTAACAAAACTGCACAGTATAAATTTGACTAGTAGAACTTTTAATCCAGCCACATTAGGACATCATAACCTTTGTTATAAATGTGGCTGAACACACATTCATTGTACAACTAAGAACCGTGAATCATGTGAACCAGTAACACTAATCTTTACAGACGTCAGAGTGCGGCGGTGTTCACAACAGTGGGTCACAGAACAGTCAGCGGCTCTTCACAACTCAATAAGTTACACTGATGAAAACTGTGACTCAGCCAGTGTTTCCCAATGATTACTCAATCGTCTCCACCTCTAGGCTGAAGGCGATATCAAATTAAAACAAATACCTAAGCTGAATCATCATGTCAGCTCAGAAAGGTCAACCCACTACAGTGAGTCACATAGTCATTTATACTATAGAAGAGGTACCCAATGGGTAATAATTACAGTCCACTGATCAATACAAGTGAAAAAAAAGGTGATGACAAAGAGCTTCTAAATATGGAGTAGATTCTGACATCTTTGTGCTGTAAAGTACAAGATCATTTACTGATCTGATATTCCTCCTGAGCTTGGAGGGAAATTGAGTGCTCACAGTTCTCATTTTTGCATACAGAGGAACTCCTCGGCCTGACATCAGAGTGAGATGGTGGACAGCTGTGTTTTATGTGCTGATTGATTGCCAGGCCAGTGTTCCCAGCTGTCCTCCCACCCAACACACAGCCGCTCCCAAGGCTGCAGCCGCCATCACGGCCAGGATGGCCTTCAGCACAGCGCCAGGGGGTCTGCTGAAACGGGCAGGGGCCATGGACGCCAACATGGCGACAGTCACGGTCAGGGTGAACAAAATGGATACGGCAGTGTTAATGGCCACTATTTGGCCAAACTTGGCAAAAGGCACAATAACACAGAAGAAGAGGGGGACTGTAGAGATCACCGTGGTGACGGCGCTGGACACTATGGCAACGCCCACATGGTTCACTGCCTCCAGGGTCCGCCTCTGCCTCTCGGCTGAAGGCTCCTGCAAACACAACGCAGTTTAGTAGGAGAAGCCGCTCCTCGTTATTCATGAGCCTTCAGGGTGCTTCTTGCCTAATTAAATTCCAAAATCTTACTCATTAGCTTGTTTTAGCATGCATGTAAAAAAAAAAAAAAGTGCGCCGTGGAAGTTTTTCTAATTGCTGCTGTGAAACAAATTTACACTCCCATACCGAGCTATGACCAGGCGTAGAGGGCATCGTCTCCCTAGCCAACAGGTATCCCTCCACCAGGTGCAGACAGTAATCCACTGAAGATCCCACAAGTATAGACAGAGAAATCGCTTCCACAGCTCCCATCTCCCAGCCCAGCCAATACATGACTGCCACCACCAGACAGATCACTCCTGTTGAGGGCCCAAAACTCGTAATTACACAGAAGATCCTGACCCAGGCCTGAATATTCAATTTTTAAAATGCAATTCTCAGTGTCACTTCCAAATATGCAATCTCTTACCCAGAATGGTTATGAGTACTGGCAGCAGCAGCAGAGGATGTGCAGTAAACACGGACACAGCTGCCACACAGATGGCCAGAGACAGCAGCAGACTCCAGAGGGCACTCTCCACACCTACAAACAGACCAGAGAGCAGTATATTATCAGATTTTTACATGCTGCTGCTCTCACTCACTCCTTACGATTAATCTCTCTTCAGTTAGCAGAAAAAACCACACCTCTTCGACATGCGCTCTCACTTGCCTATGATCTCCATGAAGATCTGCTTCCAGTGCTCGCAGGTCTGGAAACCCCGTTGCAGAGCGGAGGACTGCGGGAGGGAGGCGAGCTGCTCCTGGATGAAGTTCTCCCACTGAAGGAAGTCGGAATAGGTCTGAAAGGAGGATTTCCCCTTGTATGTGGTCTTGGGAGCAGGGGGGAGGTAGAGTGTTAGGCACGGTGAAGTGGAAATGTGTCGCTCTGTGATGCTGGGAGATGAAAAGCTGAAAGATGAAGGGACTTACAGACTCAAAGGCCATGGACAGCCAGCGGACCTTGCCTCCGTGCATTCCCACCGCTCCGTGGGAGAGCTGCCCTGGGAGCAGGTTGGGTTCAGGGAGAGAGTGACACTCAGGATGGAGCAGAGGCAGAATAGAAGACAGCTTGTTGCCTGGAGAGAACAGAAGAAACGACATCACCTTTTGCACACTTTCATTCTCTACAGGCAATTATTTTATTTCATGGATTACCTTCTTTTGGTTCAGGTTTTGCCATGTTTTTTGCAGTTGTAAAGCACTTAGCACTATATTACACTCAGTTGATTGATTATTTGGTTTATAAAATTGTAGAAAATTGTGAAAAACATCCATCAGAATCTCCCAAACCCCATGTTAGCATCTTGAGGTGGCCTGTTTTGTCCAGCCAACCATTCAAAACCTCAAAATATCCCATTTGCTATTAAAAATTAATAAGAAAAACAGCAAATATTCCCATTTGAAAAGTTGGAACCAGTGTATTTTTGAAACATTTGCTAAATAATGACTTTTTGGTGATCGAGTAATTAATCAATTAACTGTATCAGCCAGATAAGGCTAAATATTATTGTTTGATGATATTTTATGCAAAAATAAAACATTTGGGTGTTACCTGAAGGCAAACACTGTGCTCCTCCTGGCTTCACAAGTTGTCTGTTTGCACTAATAGCTTTACAGATCTTACAAAGACGTCCCATTTCCTGGAAAATATCAAAGTCTGGATCCAATATAATGCTGCCCTTTGGAGAGAATCAAACACCACATCAACCACATGAGAACATCATTAAAAAAATCTGGCTCTGCTTTATTCCTGCTGATTATTCAGATGTACTGACACAGGTGTGACCCTCACCATATCACCAATAACATGGTTGTCCCTGCGTTCCGTTCGGTTGACCCCCAAGATGCCAAACACAACAAAAACCATCGCCCCGGTGTCAACCAGAGGCCGCACTGCTGGGTGGCCACATGCACCGCCACTGCAAGGGTTGAAGCCAAACGTTTTGGATGGTTTCGTTTTGGCAGCAGATGAAGGATCTTTGAAAATAGAACAAGAAAAAAATCTCTAACTGGCATTTATTTATACAGTGTAAAAATATGTGCATGTGGAGTACTGTGGAAAAATCCTCCAGTGGGTTCAGAGAGTGCCACTTTAACAAGCTATATTTGAAAACGTCAGTGTTACTGCATTTTTCTCTATTTCTATGACAATGAGAATAAATGAAATAAATTAAAAAAACACATGCGGTGGGAAAATAGTTTTCCTGATGGGCTAATAAACTGTTTTTATGTTAATGATGTTTTCTGACACTGTGACACTAGCTCACTCACCACTGGGAAGAGGAGCATAAAAGGTCCCCTGTGTGGGTCCATCAGGCCCAGAACTGATGCTGCAGCCAGGTGGGGTGACACACACTCGGCTGGGATGAGGTCTCAGACGGCGCTGGGCAAAGTACAGTCTCCTGAGAGGAGAAAGCAGAGCTGAGATGACAGATTGTCCAGTCAACGACACGACAGTCGCTCTAACATGTTTCCTCATTTGTGTTTTCACCTGCTGTGCTGCTGGGGAGACGATGCTGCATAAAAGGAAAACTCTGGCGTCCAGCCATGACGGGGGTCACATGAGGTGGATGTGATCATCCAGCTGGGGTACGGGTGGTACACATGGGAAACACACACTGTCATTCTGGTGGTGTAATTGCTGCAGGGATGATTATAAGCCTATTCAGATGAAACAAGATTAGTTATAAGCCGCTTTAGTGGCACATATCACAGTTGGGAGACATAATGTTACAACTAATTATAAAAAATCATTGAGTTTTCTGCTCTCTAACCTGAAAGGATGACACCTCTTCATGATCTGTGCTGCACAACTTCCATGGGGAGGGAGTGCTGGTGTTAAGTGAGAAGCGGTAAAGGGTTGTAGAGGCTCCAAGGTCCAACTTTGATATGTACACTGTAAGTAAGGAGCCTAAAAAAACCGTACAGAGTGCAATATTTATAAATAGTGGAAGAGATTTTAAATAAGAAGGAAGAGGATTAAAATGTGCTGAACGTTTTACCTGTTTGGTTTGTGCCTGAATTTGGTTTTACTGAGCTCTGAGGAGCAGTGGAGGTCGTTGTGCTCGGGGTCTGCTGATGTGTAGAAAACTTAAATGCTGATGAGGAAGTGTGGGTGTACAAAGGATGAGGCTTTTCCATGAACACGCCTGCAAGACACGACATGCAATTCAGATGAATGTATTTAAGATCTCTCTGGTGGTTTCCATCACTGTCGCAGTCTCACCTGAGCACATAGGGCAGGAGATGCCTTGACCACTGAGGTTGCTCCTCAGAGCCAGCAGAGTCTGGAGGTTTGTGTCCCGGCGGAAAAGAAGGGGGGCGTGAGTGGCCGGCCTCAGGAGACAGCAGCACCCGGCAGATAAGAGCAGAACCAGGAGGAAGACACCTGGGCAGACAGGAAGACAATGATAAACAATGGCAGGAGAGGAGGGTCTGATGGAGTAGATAGAGCAGCTGAGGGACAGATCAGGAGCAAGGATCTATTACAAAAGGGAGGATGAATACTTCATGATAGGTGCTTGCTCTTCCTCTGATAGACTACATCCCCTCAGGCTGGACAGAGATTCCAGCATTACTTAAACAATTCTTACTTGAGCTGGATGTTATTCTCATTTCTAAGTCATAGATTAAGAGCTTGCCAAATAATATCTACGAAAACCAAATGGAAATCTCTCCCTTTGACATTTTAGAGTATAAACAGATCTGTGTCAAAATCCTTGTGATTTCTCAGAGTTTATTACAAATCTCACCTAGAACGGCTTTTCGACGCTCCACAGCTGGCTCTGCCACTAAATGCTTCAGGGCCCACTGGAGATTAGTGCTCACCACACCCACATGCTGCTGCCCCGGAGGGGACAGAGGTGTCTCCACTGACAGGGAAAGAATGGCTGCATCGCTGTCTGTGTCACAGGAGCCTGGCCGAGACAAAGAGAAGGGCTTAGTGGTGCCTGGACAGCAGCGTTTTACAGCCTGGACTCATTCCCTCTTCCAATTCACCCCCATCATTCATTTAATGCTAGGAAGATAATAATCTCACCTGGCTCCATCTCCACTGACAGAAGTGCCACATCATCATCCTCATCTGACAAAGGGCCGTGGCTCGCTGACAGGCCCGAAAACAGCTTCCAGCTTCAGAGGGAGAACGGAGTTTAGGGAGAGAGACAGCTGAAGGGATTACATCTCACCCGTGGTGTCGCACAGCATGCACAAATAACATCACACACAAAAGTAAGGAGGAAAACGCCTCACCAATTCAACCAGGCATGTTCCTGAGGCTCCACACACTCAGTCCAGACACACAGGGCGGCTGGCATCAGGACAGACACCCAAAGCCAGCAGCAGCTGACAATGAGTGCCATGAATAGGCCGAAGTCATGCACGGCTGGGATCTAAGTGTCAGTTAAACGAGGCACAGTGTGAAGGACCTTGAAACATTCAATTTGTGCTTATCGCATGAAAATGGCTGTCTGCTGAGAGAGGCACTTCTATTCATCCATAGCGGGGGAGTCATTTACACTTCCTGTACAGATCCCATTAACGGCTGCATTTCTCTTCTATGATTACCTGAGAGAAGGTGTTAGCAGCATAGGCAGCTGCAGTGGTGAACGAGGTGAGGAAAGTAGCTCGGCCAGCTGTTTTAATTGTGTAGATCATCCGTTGCCGCGGCTGACGCAGATGGGAAGCCTGTCTGAAGGTGCTGATGAACACGAATACATCATCCACCCCTGAGCAACAGTGAGAGAAGAAAAGAGCAGCTTTATTAAACATTAAAGTAAATGTACTGCAAAAATCTGTTTTTCCAACATTTAAAGAAATAGTTGACATTTTTGGGAATACATAAATAACTAAATAACTTTATTGCCAAGAGTTGGATGATAAGATTGAAATACAAAGCTACAACTAGCAGTGGCTGCTGGAGGATGCTGGTTTACAGGGGTTTATATGCTGGACTATTTTTTGGCCTGGTGCTGTTACTTCCTGTCTCCACTGGTTGCCTCATAGTGATGACAAGACTTCAGGAAAAAATAGCCTGCCACAAACCTCAGCGTAAAACCACAATGTATTGTATTTACAATTCCATTTGTGTACGGATTAAGCAAAGATTAATTTTTAATTTGTGAGCTTTAGAGATGCTGGGAGGTGGATTTTGTCACCGTTGCAGAAAGCCAATTAAAAATGTATTTTCCCTTACCTATACCGATAATGACAAATGCTGCAACTCCATTGAGGATGCCCAGGTACCTCACGCCAAACACAACATGGTACAAGAACAGAGCCATCAAGCAGCTCAGTCCGATGCTGGCGAGTCCGAAGAATGTGAGAAACACTGCAGAGAGAAAACAAGCAGCAGCTATTAAACATTCATATGCTACCAAATAAGTGACTCTGACACGGAGATATGTGCACACCAATGCAAGTGGAATAGAGAACAGGTCATACTGTACCGGAAAAGGAGGTAAGGACATAGACGAGCACAGTAATGCAGGCTCCACTGATGACAGCCAGCATCATATCATTGTGGAAGGTGTGTCTCACCTCATCATCAAACAGCTCTGTTCCCCCATAAAGCACCTTCACCTGGCTGGGACAAGGCAAGCAGATACAAGATAACATCAAATTTCAATTACAGTAACTGCAATAAATGGTTAATATTGCAGTCATTTTGTCCTGACCTGGTAGATTGCTTGGCCAGGATGTCTGCATACTGAACCACAAAGTTTTTGAAGCGAGATCTTTGCTCATCAGCTCGGTCCTGCAGGGAGTAGTAAGAAGGTAGAGGCGCTCCGAAGTGGATCTCACTGCGTAAGAGAGAGGAGGAGAGATGCTCAGGGGACAGACTCTCATCCACGTACCAGTAGAACTGTGGGTGGGTGATGGCCAGACTCAGAGAACCTGGGAATACATAGATGGCAAATCAGCACTGTTAGGAGAACTCAGGTAATACTTTCTGCTGAAAGCTGTTTTTTTTTGCCACTCTCTTCACTGTGAACTCACCTTGAATATCAGCGAGATCTGGGCCCATGCCATCATAGTATATCTTTCCTCCTCTCTCACTGGGGTAGAGGTAAGACAGGAGTGAGCTGGGTGGGGAGCAGTAAGACGGCCCCAGTGGCAGATCCCTCAACATCTCCAGAGGCTTCCAGCAGAACTGATGAAACTGTGGGTGCTGCATGAGCAGACGCTCCACGTGGTGAATCGTTTGCAGGCGTTCTGGGGTGAAGATGTTGCGGTCGCCCTTCCCTTGAGCCACAAACACCAGCTCGATCCTCCACAGAGCCTGGCTCTGCAAGTAATAGTTGGGAGTATACCTGCGCCTCCTAATGAGCGGCAAAGTGGAATTTCCATCCAATGATCTCTCCTCGTTCTCATCTGCTCTGTGATCTGAGTTCTTGTGCTTCTCTATTTCCTTCTGACCCAAATCAGGCTCTGTGCTTTTATCTCTGCCCGCTGCCGCTCCACTCTTCTGATCTTCTCCTGCATGTAAAGGCTCATTTTGTGGAGTATAGGACATCATACCCTCATTATCTGTCCTGTTGAACACTCTCTGTCTGCCCAGCCTCTCCAGCAGAAGCTCCCGCAGGGCCTCAGACTCGCTGTTATCTAAGTCTCGCCTGCGTCTGTCCCAGGACCCAAGCTGAGTCTTTACAGCAATGGCGAGGGCATCGAAGCGCTCGGCAGAGAAGTGACTGTGAACCTCAAAGGCACTGTAGGAGAGGTCTATGTCCAGAGGAGGGCAGTAGAGGAGCATGTAGGCAAACAGGGCGCACGGTAGCAGGACAACTACCCCTAAAACCATTCCACTGGCACAGGGCTGTGTGTACACCCACCCCACTGCTCTCCACAGCCCACACACCCCAGCCTCCCCAGAGAAACAGCTCTGTCCAGCTGCGTGTGCTACTCCATCTTCTTCCTCCTGCTCCTCCTCCTGCTCCTCCTCTTCCTCCCCTCCCCAGCTGGTTTGAAACAGCAGTGGCTCATCCTCCACATCCATGCTGGCACCTGTCAGGGACATATAACACCACTTGATCATTCCTCACTTAAAACACCACCCCTTTCTCTCTCCCCCCTGGGAAGGTGAGCACTAAATAGATGTTCCAACTACAAGGAGCTGACATAAGCATCAAAATGAAGGACAAGGTAACTTCCAGTTGCACTCAGCGGACAAGGATGTGAGAATTAAGTCTGTCCTTAAGAAGCTGTCCTCCATCAGCAGCTCACATGTAGGAAACTGGGGAGGGGAGACCTTTGTTTCTCAAGGTCTTATAAGAGAAAATGGTTCGTAGAGCTGCTTTAAGATGCTGATCACAAGAGCTTGGGGGTGAAACAGGCTAAAAGCTGTGATTTAATTCTTCTCTCTGTCAAGCCATTATCACCCAGAGAGAGTCTGTTGGTGGCTTTCTAAACATCAACAGTCAAAGTAACTGTGTCTGCTCTGCAGCAAATTAAATCATCTCACATGTCTAATTACTGACAAGAAGAGTGAGTAGGAGAGACAGTTGTGGGTTTATCTACTGTGATGGGCAGCCTTTGACTAATGAAGTCAATAGGTGCCACTTTTTTCCCACTCCTCTACACAAGATACTGCAGACAGTTTGCATTCAAGTGGCAGTGAGCCTGCTAACTGCAGCAATTTATCTATTCTCTTTATAACTGTGCTTTAAGGTCAGCCAGGTAAGATAGTGAATTTTGATTATGTGTAAAAGATAGCTGCGCTCAGCTTTATAGCTGAAGTGAAAATCAATCATGGAAAAAAAGAAGAATTTACAAATTATACCATTAAATCAAATAATTGTAAAAATGACTCCTCGTGTTAGAAAGAAAGAGACTCTGGAAAGACATCCCTGGAGCAAATTAACTGGAGTCTTGTTGATTTATGGGAATTTTGTTTGTGCTCTTACACCTGAATAAACCTTATTTCATGGTTGTGCTAGAGAAGAAAATGTGCTCATGTCTGTGTCAGAAAAGCACCTCGTGTGCGGCCACTGTGTCCACAAAGTCAGTTTCCAGTTCACTGATAATGGATGTGTTTCATAGCCACATCATTATCAGCCATAGCTTTAGTGTCTCTCACTCTCCGAGAGTTTTTAATGTTCTCAAATGTCCACAGGACTTACATATGCTAATGAGGTTTTATGCTGGATTTTCCCTTTTATGGAAGAGATAAGAAAGCCTGTTAAGTTGAAAGCCAAGAGCTCCGCTGTCTCTAATACTTTATGAAAAAAGGCCTATTTCGGGCTATTTTTTAATCTGTACAACACTTTCTTTTATTAATCACCATGTCAACGTACTGCACGGACAAGGACACCAGTGCACCTTTTAATGGGAAAGCAGCAGACCAGCATCTGCCTACGCAGTGTGAACATCAACTCTTTCAGAGGACAAATTCATTAATGGTGTTGGGAAAGTTCGGCTTTAAAGTATGAAAACAGAGAATGAAATACGCAATCTAAACAAAATCATGTTATTATCTTCAGTTACTTTTGGATCACAGTGCCTTATTTTTCTATAATAACAAGGAAAATAATAAGTTCCAATTTGCAGGCTGTAATTACTGGTTATCTTCATCATAAGCTGTTGTTTCAAAATGAGCACTCTCATGTTGTTTTCTGTAAGGCCATAATGCAAGCTGCGTTTTCCCCTTCAAATGCTTTTCTGTCCAAGTAATTTGACCAATTACATGACCAATCCTACATGAAAGCAATATGTGAGGTATACTTGTACAGTAAATTAAGTGGAGTACAGCTGTTAATTTTGCTAATTAGATTATTGTAATCCTGTTACATCTCATCTCTGCCTCTCCAGCTTGTTTTGACGATGGTGCTCTCATCAGCCAAAGATGAGAGGAGAGGCACGCAGACGAGCACAGAAATATGATGAGAGAAGTGGAATGGAGGAAAAGGGGGGGGGGGAGCCTTGGGAATGACTGAAGACACAGACACTACAGCTGTCACCCTTCAAACAAACGACCAGCACCTTAGAAATCTGGGAAAAGAAATTGTACTTTTCTGCTGTTTAATATTCATGGGAAAGAAAAATCTACATCGGCACAACTCCACAGCTCCATTTCTGTGTCCGTTTCAACATCAAAACAGGCTGATTAGTGGTGCAGATGTCAAAGTCTGACAGTCTGAGGAACTCATTAGAGACTGATATGCAGACTCAGTGCCTATTAGACATTAAGGCAGAGCCCTGTGCTTCATGCTAACCCCCTATCACCTACTGTGTACCTTGCAACAGACAATGCTGTCAGAATCAGAATCTGGTTTATTGCCAAGTAAGTTTTTACACACAAGGAATTTCCCTGTCTGTTGCAAGGTTGCAGGTACAGTGGGGGAAATATAACTACAGTGATGAACAGCCTCAGGGACGCATCCTTTCTCTCTTCTTGATGAGTGGGACGCTTCTTTGCATCCAAGAACATTGCACCTCATGTACAATAATTATGAGCGGTGTACAGCTGCAAAGCACTGCGAGCAGCGCAGAGCCTGCTATAACTAATGTGTTTACAAGCTTCCAGAATTGTTCATTCAAGATTAGGCGTACACAGTCGATTCATACCCATTCCAGGTGTGGATTAAAAATAGAGTGCAATTTGGCATCCTGCTTTCTGTATTTATCGGAATAAAAGCCGTCTCCCATATGGCTCGGTCTATATTAAAGTTCTAAAAAAAAGTGATTCTTCATCTATAACATGTTTTAGACTCAAAATCGAGACTGATAAATACACTGAGGCCTGAAATGTACATCTATTTGGAGCTTTTGAGGTATGAAATCTTGTATTCATCTTTTTTAAGACGAACCTGCTATTGTATTATGTATGCTGCGTGACTGTGTATTGGATACACTTGCCTTCCCCTCACACAAAACTCAATTTTGAACTTTCTGTGCAGCTTTTTTATTGAATCTTTTTTAAACAAGTGCCACCCAGCTGGCCACGCTGTACCTGCCTGCTTATTTTAAGTACAGCAGCTGCATTTGATGGACTGTGTTGTGTGGCAGAGAGCTATATTTGGGCTTTCTTCTGTGTCGTGTTTAGCGAGTTGTGAGCAAAAGAGGAGGGTGAACCTTGAGCTCCACTAGACCAGATTTTCCATATGTATTTTTATTTTTTTCCTCCAATAAAGACGTGGATAAACCGACTATCAGCATTTTCACCCTCCACCACATTTCTGGATTGTGTCTGGTAGGTGAGGCGGGAGCTCTGTGCAATCCCAGCCTGCTGTGAGCCTGAACCTCTCACCTATAATCATCTCTCCCCTCCCTCCTTTTGCTCACCGTGCCTCACTCTCCTGCCCTTTCTCTCCCTTTAATTTTTTCTGCTCCTTCTCTATGGCTCTATCTTGTCCACAAAGGTGAGAAATTTGTAACCTTCATTACTGACAGCAGCTAAAAATAACTCCATCCTCCTCAGTTTATCTCCTCTCCATCTCATCCAATATGGATATCACATGCTTCCTCCTGCCCCACACACATTCATCCTGGTGTAAACTCAGCCAGCATACCACCTTATTTAAAGGGGCATTTATTTCAGCAATAGTGCCTCTATGAATATATTCCTTATGCATGAGCACTCAGCAGTATGTTTACTGCGGACGTGCCTTCTATTCTTTACACACTGTGAATCCGGAGTCAAGTAAAACTCTCGAGATCCATTTGCTCCCAACAACGGTGTTCATTTTCTTATTGTCGATGAATTCATGCTCGCACTGAAGGAAGCTCAAAGCTCTGTGCACATTGCGTGAAGCATCTTGGGGCTTTACCATGCAATTCCTCTCACTCTCCTGAAAATAAGCCCCATACTACAGTGAGTCTAGTTTCTTTTCCTGGCAGCATATAAACAACAAATGCAAACACACAATGAAGCCTATTTCTCCAAACTTATCTGTTTCAGAGTTACTCTGATGAATAATGCTTGTACTTCAAGCTGCCTGCGAGCTCGGTGTCCAAGCATTTTAGAGAATTGTTTGACTTTTTTATTAATTCTCCAGATAACTGCCTTCGGTCATTTATATTTTTGTCAATAAATCAGCCAAAAAACAAAAGCATCCCTATCAAAGCAAACGTCTGCAACACTGAGGAGACTCTTACCTGAGGCTGATGAGACGAGAATTACAGGTGAAGCGTTCAGGCCTACTGGGTCCACTTGTAATGTGCTGAACTTGTGCTCTGCAATTTCATCCCGTCCATGCTCTGGTGTGGGGAAAGAAAATGATTTACTGCTTTATTGTCATAGTTAATAACTCATCACGAGAGACACCAAGGGAACCCTCACAAGAGATTGACACACAAAAATCTACTTCCCTCCCCACACACACTCTAAAGGAATCCTCTAATCTAAGCAGTTAATAATGTGTTGTTTTCCTCTCCTTTTACGCTCCCTGGTCCTTTCCCTCTTTCGTGCACCCTCCCCTCCTCTCTTACCCGGTTGTCCAGGAGACAGAGTCAAGTGAGAGACATTTCTTCCCAGAAGCTCCTCTCTCTCCCGTGGCTTTGTTCAGCTTGCTCTGCTGACTGGCTCACCAGAGGAGGAGAGAAAAGGAGGGGGATGCAGCCCAAAAACCTCTGTAAACCTCTGGTGAAGGCAGGAGAGCCTGAAGGTATTTTAGAAATGAATGAAAATGGGTTTTGGACTGGTTCCCCTTAAATTCAGTGGGTTTAATGTCACCAAAATCATGCAGCTGTAATGATGTTGCAGTAGAGCCCCCTCTCTTGCTGTCAGAGTTGGTATGGTCTAGTCTAGTCTCAGTTGGTGGGGAGGTGGGGTGTGTTATAAGAGGGCGATCAGAATAACTGGCTACAGTGGGAGACAAAGTGCAGGCAATTTAAAATAATCACCTGAAGTAAGAGTTTATTAGCTTTGGTAATTTTCCTTATCGAGCACGGTGCTCTCACAACAGATGAAAGTTGTGCAGCCTTTGTTGTACCTGAATTTGACTGCTGTGTTCCACTAATACTTTGTGGGAATTGTGAATTCAGCACTGATTTGACTTGTCCTTTCTCCAGTGCCCTCGCTCACTCTCATCTAACATTAATGATCAGCTCTCCACTCCTACTGCCACATTCAACTCATCTATCACCTCACTTCTCAGCCTCTGTTCCGGTTTAACTTAGATTGCCTTGACAACAAAAGGTAATAATCCATCATCTAAATGGGAGTGGATAACTCTGAAGTGAAGTTTCACCTTTTGTAGCTCTTTCATAGAGCAGTGTGAGACACAAAAGAAAACCGGTTTGAGGTCCCGTGCTCATGTCACGGTTTGTATGTGTGTGTGTGGGCACCCTTCAGAATACTTTGTCTTCGTCCTGTTGGTGCACCTGTGACAGGCCCCTCTGACCAAACAGACTTTTTCAGTCACTTGAGATCAATAAAGTGAAGCGAGTGAGTCTAATCACATCTATTGCTGCGGCACTGTGAGAGACAAACAAACAGATCGCATGAAAACTGATCAATTGTTGTAATTGCACGTCATCAATAACACCCAGACAGACTCTGTACAGTGTCCTTTGTTAGGGTTTAATGAGTCCCTCCAATCTCAACAGACTTCATTCGGTAAACACGTATCACATATTGGCAGGCAAGAACTCAGAGGCAGTTGACGCATGATAATAATATACAATTAAATAATACAAAATATACATTAATCATTCATGGTCATTCATACACACATGCATACTGAACACACACATGCAAACTCACACAAGGCTTTCAGAAAGACAGACTGTTTGCTCCCTGATCACACAGAGTTCAGAAACTGTTTGATGGTCCCGTTAAGGCAGGTCTTCCTGAAAAAAGCTAAATTTTTAGGATATTCTTTTTTTGGGGGCTATTAGAGGAGATTCGCGCTAATAGCTACTCGGGGGAGGACTGACTGAACAACAACCTCAGTTAGGAATAGATGGGAACGGTCGAATAATCTTTCACATCAAGCAATGTTACACAATGAAATGATTATTGGCACAGAAGCAAATGGCCCTGGCTAACTTAAGATATAATTTGGGAATAAACTGCATGCAGGAGCTATCCACCAGTATCTTATACTTAGGGCAATATCCTTACTAATGCCTTATTTATCTCTCTGTACTATTAACAGTGGAAACCATTGAATTGGTTGCATGAGGAGAGGCTACAGAACATTACAGTCCTACCACCTACCCTACCCATATAGCATAATCTCCTGGCTATTCTTAGATATATAATTAATTCCTGTTTTCTAAATACTATAGTATACATACACATACTAACTGAACAGAGGAAGATATATGTTTGGTCTCTTTGTTTATAACTACACGTAAAACAAGAAAGTCAGTGAAACAGTTAATAATATAAATGGGCTGATATGTAAGTGCGACTGGAAAATAAACCTGATATTGATTAGCTCTACGGAGCTGGAAAAACAATCTGCATCCTGTAATTCCTGTAAATGAGTGTGGTCTGTCTTCAGTGTTGCATTGCAGTCAGAATTGATTGAGTTGGATTTTCACTTCATTTGTATGTCTGGAGCTCCAACAAAGGGGATTACAGTTGGAACACATCTAATCTAATGTAATTTTAGCACCTGCTGAAGAGGCTCAGAGGAAGCCCACTTTTTGGAAACTGTACATTGTGAACACATTTTGATCAAAAACACACCCCGGAGAACAACTTAAATACTCCACATATAATTTACATTTTACATTTACAGCAACAATTTAATGACCCAACAAACATTTTGTCACAAAAAAGATTTTGTTCGCAGCTTTGTCTTTCTTTTTGCAACTTTGCAATAACACTTTCGGCCTGAGTGTTTAATTAATTTCAGTCACGACACAACGTTCACAGTGAAAAGCAACAGCCCCAGTGTATTGGTCAGGGCGACAGCTGACGAGAAAAAGTTGATCTAAATGTGCTATGGTCATTGGTCCATGAGAAAACAGTGGTACTGCCACACATAGACAATACACACACAGACACTCTCACACACACAATTGCTCTCTGTGCTGTAAACTCACATACACTCTCATACTCTCAAAGATGTCCTATGACAAGGGAATTGTTTGTTTCCTCTGGCTACCACAGATGAGTCTCCCGAATCTCAGAGATGATGTTATTTGCTTTTTTAAGCGCCTGAAAAGGGAAAAAAGAAAAAAGGGCGGTTAAATCACTAGCCTTAAAGTAGTAGATTAAAGAAAATGGGGACTTACTTCCCTTGATGCTCAAAACCTATTCAGAGAACAAAAGCAGCAGCCAATTTTACCTCAAGCATTTGAGCAACCTCAGTCCGCTGCTGTGCCGTGTCCTGTGACTCAATGAGCAGCTCCTGCAGCAGTGGCTGTTTGTAAAGTTGACCCACCAGCTCACTCTGCAGATGCTCTTTCACAAAGTTCACCAGGAAGTGCATCACTGTCTTGGGCACACTGCGGACACACAGCCCCGAGACAAAGTTAGATAATCTGTGTCAATAACAACAGAGCTCAACCATAGCAAAAGAAAAGGAAATGGGGGAGAATGTGTGCCCTCCAGGTCTCTGGAATTCCAGACGAACCTGTCTTGGATGCTTTTGCGGACAATGAGGAAGTAGCACTTGATGAGGCGCTGGATGACCTCACAGTCCCTCTGTTCCCTCGCACTCAGCTTGCGGGATACGGGCACCGCCTGGCAAAGAGGGTCAAAGTACAATGTTGACAGCCTGCGATGTATTCACTACTAAGTATTTTGTCGCACTGCTAATCCCACCACTCACTGTGTCGAGAAGGTTAATGGCCTGGCCTTTGCTGGGGCTGCCAAAGCTTGCAGCCGGGGCTTTCTCTTCCGCAACCTTCTCATTCTTCCAACGCTTCCCTCCATCAAGGGCCTCTGCCTGACAGTGAGAAATCAGAAGAAGTCAGAGGGTCAAAGCAATTTTGGCTCAGCCTGGAATTTCACTACAAACTTTGAAAGGGGCTGTACTGTTTGGATGTGAAACTTTATGATTAAGGCTTTACAGAACACAACTTCTGCTGTTTACCCTAGCAGAATAAATGATAAATGGTAGTAGCTGCTGTAAGGTGTAAATAACTACCTGCTGACTGTTGACAGATGCTGAGACCTGCGCTGCATCCGTGAAGTCTGGATGTTTTGTGTTGATGTAGGCAAGCTCTATTGATACCAAATTGTGTACCTAGGTGGAAAATGTAGGGAAAAATACTTGTTAATGGGACTTGGCTTTTAGTTATTATAATCAGAATGAAAGATCATCTTAGCTAAGCTGTGGATTACCATTTCATTAGTAATCGGCAGGCGCTTCCTCAGTAATCCAGTCACCACTTCCACAATGGAATCGTGCAGTTTGGGGAATCGCAGAAGCTCCTAGCAAACACAAAGACTTTCTTTCTTAGCACAGTGCTGTCATAATTAATGCTACTCTGTTCTAGTGAGTCAATCAACATGTTTTGGCTAACCTGTGTGCTATAGGAGGAGCAGTGCTGGATGATCCTCTGCAGCTCTTCATGAACAAGCTCCACACAGCGCAGACTGGGTTCTTCCAGCCGCTTAATTTGCCGCTTCACCAATAACTCAAAGGACACCTCGGGCACAAAAAGTGCTGGCCGCGGACCCTGCAGGGCAAATCACACACACACGCACACACAAGCTCTATTATTTACTCACTATTGCTCCGAAGGAGAGTACTAGATTAGAATTTGGATTAAACTAATTACACAAATATAAGTAATGTAAGCTGACCGTAGCATTGCGGATCGCAGTGAGGATATCAAGCTCAGTCAGTCCTCCCAGGGGGTCAATGGACTGCAAAGTGCGGCCAAAGGTCTCATGGAATATGTAACAGATCCGAGCACCCCCACAGCTGTAGAAGAGATGGGTTCAGCTGTGACACCAAGGCAGTTTCTCAGTGCTGTGTGTCAGCAATGTTAATCGCACAAAAATTGAATGCAGTCAACCAAAAAAGGTCAATGTTTGCTCACTACATATTTACAGGAATTAATTGCTTGGTAAGAGGCTGTAGTGACGAAGGTGCCAAGAGAAGATGCTGATACCACTTTAATTTACAGAATTACATCCCCCCAAGGACATTACCCTCGTGGCGTACATTGTGAACCAATGTAAAAAATAAAATGCTGAGTTCTACAACAAAAGTACTAAATTAAATGACAAAAAAGGCTGTTTTCATCATAAAAGCATCTGCTATTCAATAAAGATCCTACTGCTGTAGTGAGGTCAGACTCACAGCTCTGAGGTCTGGATGTATCTGGCTGTTCCCTCGATGGTGTTGCAGTAATCGCTGGCGAACTTGGTGACAATCTGCAGCAGGGTGGCACTGTGGTCTTCTACTGGTTGGCCATAGCTGTTGAGCCGTGTCTGGTACTGGGCACTCAGCACGGTCACTCGGGTTTTGAGGTCTGGCAGGCAATCCCGGATGTGGTGCATGAGCAGCCTGCTGAGAGTTTTGGCCAGATAGCGTGAGCCGGCGCGGGAGGCGAGCGAGGGGTAGTGGCGCTGAAGGAAAGCCTGTTCATCCCTCATTGAGTCCTCCAGGCTCTTCTGGGTATTGATGTCATGCTGGCTCCTAGGAGGATCACCATTAGGGAGAGAGAAGGAGTGTAGTCAGATGATATGGGGAATAAGGACAACTTGGCACCGTGCTGTATTGTGAAGCTAAAAACATTGTTAACTGGCTAAAATAAAATGATCAGCAGTTCATTATTGCAAACCTGTTAACCACCCCGATAATCCCAAGTCTGACTGGAATGACTCGACCCAGGAGGACCTCCAGAGCATCGGTCCCTGCATCCATCAAGTCCAGCTTACTGACCACCAGTAGTGTTCGACGTCCTAACAGGCACACAAACAAAGATTGATTATATATTTTTAAGATCTCCCAATTTAGGTTTTAATGATTTCTGTTGAGAAAGACAGGAGGAAAGTGTATAGTAGGACATCATAGAAGATAACAAAGAAGCAGGTCTCTGATGGGACAGGACTGAGGCCAGCAGGAGAACACTAGCACACTGGCACACTATCAAAGTATACAACAGGCAGTTTAAGGCCACACTGCCAACCTCCCAGGCAAATACTACAGGTAGATTCTCATCATTTATCAATCTATTCTTCAGAGTGCACAATGATAGCAACATCAATTCTCTAAGCAACTGTAAACTGTCAGGATGCTGTTAATAGTAAAGACTGGCAGCTCCAATAGCCTGAAATGACTTCAGTACGATGTGTTCTTCATGCATATTTTAATCATTTTAAATGCATTTCCAATTGAAGCATATTATGTAATAAGCATCGATGGAGAGGAAAGAAAATGGAAATGAAATCTGAGGAAGAGGCGCCTGTGTACAAAATGTCCTACCATCTGGATCAACCTCACGAGCCAATTTCAGTGCATCAGAGGTGGCCAAGTCAGAGTTGGCAGGGGACACTGCGAGGATGAGGGAGTTTGGATTGGAGATGAAGGACAAGATCATCTCTTGTACTTGAGCTTCGATGTCCTCTGGCTGGTCCCCAACAGGAACCTGAGGCAACAACAGTGAACAGTGAGCAGCGAGCGTTACTGTAAGCACAGCACAGATGGGGTGCTGCTGTGAATCTGTGATGATTGCAGATATGCAAAGCAATCACCATTAATCATGATCTACCGCCATTATATCTGTACACATGAAACAAAATTAACATTCCTTAAGTGGCTGAGTTTACCTTAGTAATTCCAGGTAAATCAACCAGGGTGAGATTAAGGACCTTGGGGGAGAAAATCTTCAAATATATGGGCTCCGTAGTGATTCCCTGGAGGGTACGAAAAAAGGAAAGAAAATCATGAATGCAGTGTAAAAAGCTAAATTTAAGGCATCACTGATTTTACATCGATGCTTTCTTTTCACCTTGTTGTCACCAGAACTGCGTTCAGTCTCTGCCTCGACTTCCCGGCGAATCTCCTGAAAATCTGTGAAGATCTGTCAAAAAAGGTGAGAGAATGATGCATCAACTAAGCGCAGCACATTATACAGAACAAAAGCATAACACACGTCACTTGAATCTTTCAGATAAATGTACCTGGTTCTTGCAGTGCAGAAATGTACCCCACTCTTCAGCTTTGACACCTGAACAAACAGAAGAATGAGTGTGAGTAATTTTACGAAGCTGTTTTAAACAGTGAAATTTACAGCTTGAGGAGAAATAATGAACGCTGAAAGGATTACAATGGACTTATAACATGCTTGTCTTGACAGATGAAGTTCAGAACAAACAAACAAAATGTATGAGAGGAGAGGCTAAACAAAGACAGGCCCATGCAAACCAAATATACAGAGACCTGGGTAGCTGTTTTGGGCATTTTGTGTTACCCCATTGCCTGAAAAAGTAGTGAATAAGAAGAGGAAGAAAGACTGAATGTTAGCAAAGAGACACCAAGGCTCTAAAATGAGTAGCTTGCAGTTCAAACAGTGAGTGATAGTGCCATGCCTAAGTGCTAACCACACATAAACTACTTCAAGCAGACTCCATGTTTAGACAGAAATAACAAACCTGCTGTCCTTCTTTAATATGATGATATTTAGTATACCATAACTTAAAACTTGGTTATTATTAATTAAAATATAAAGAAATGTGTAGGTACCGCTCTCGTTCTTTAGTCTCTCCTGCAGAGGGGAAACATTAATAAGTTGCAACACGAGGGGTCGTCTTGTGACTATTCCTGATCCCCGAGGCAAGAAATCCCGTCCGACCAGGCTCTCCAACACAGAGCTCTTTCCACTGCTCTGTTATGGCACACAAAGAAAGCAATTCAGCAATGTTTCTAGCAGCACTGATAAAGTCTAGTTTATAACAATGCATCATTTTTGATCAGATCAGAAACTCAAATCAGAGACCTTACAGGTTTAGTAACTGTAGTGAAGTGCAGGCAAGGGTTACAGGTAATGGTTAAGTTCATGTGTTTAAATTGTGCGTTTTTTCCTGCCTGACCTGAGATCCGACCACGACAATCTGAGGCAGCTGTATGATCTCTGCACCCACTGTGAGAAAGACCTCCTGCAGCCGGTTGATGGTGGGGATTAGAGTCTCCATCCTTCCAATAGACTGGGTTCACGCACTAAATTGGTGAAACAGAACAAACATAATAAAGAACAGCAAAGTAACCCAGGTGACGTTTAATCATACTGAGGAAAATGTTGTTCTTTCTCTTGTTCTTTGGGCGGCAGTAGCTCAGTGTGGAGGGACTTGGCTTGGGAACCGGAGGGTCGCCGGTTCAAGTCCCAGCTGGACTGGACACTGGAGTGGTGCCAGTTTCACATCCTGTGCACTTGCCGAGTCCGAGCAAGGCAACATAACCCCAAGCGCTCTCATGGGGGCGCTGTTAACGTGGCTCTCCCTGTTTGCATGTCCACAAGTGCATGAAAGTGTGTATTTCAGCCTGTGTGTGTGTGTGTGTGTAAAAAAAAAAGTGAAAAGAACAATTTCCCCTCGGGGATTAATAAAGTATATATTCTTCTTCTTCTTCTCGAGTCAAGTTGGCAACAAAAAAACAATGTGTTGAATAAATGAAAGTGTAGCTGATAAATATAAACAATAAATAAGCTACAGTTGTGCCCAGGAGAAGACTTTGTTAAAGGGGAAGTGGTCCTGATGAGAGGGCTGTAACCCTCGAGCATCATCAGACCAACACTGCGCCCAATGCTCTCGGATTACACATCAAAGGAGGATTTTAAATTGGCTATTAGTTATCAATCACGACACTGAGCTAATGTCTAAGTTGCATGGAAAAAAAACCATGCAACGTTAGTCCAAAGGCTCAATATTACAAGCTAATCTAAAAAAGCTAAAGCTAATGGGTAAATGCAGGAAGTGAAGGAGAAGTGCTAGCTCAATGCTAACGCTAGCCTGGAAAACCTGCACCAACCGATGCTTCATCGTGAACTTACCGATGTTTAACAAACGATATCCGTCCTTATCCGGTGTGTCTGTCTTGCATAGTTTTCGGGGGAAACGGTGAGCGTCAAAAACATTTCATTTCATCCAAATTGTCCAAAATTAGCAGCAGAAGACACAACCGTCACTTTACTACATAGGCGTTATCCGCGTTACTCTACCTCAATCTGATTGGTCGAAAGAATCTAAATCAGCAGCGTCACCGTTACCTGATTGGTCCACGCGTAAAATACGTGTTTGGTCCCGCCCTCTGATGTCCTACTATAAAACACATTTTATTTTTAATATTTAACCACTTCTTCTTTTTATTCTGAATAGGACTAAAATCCCTTCCCAGTCGAGGCATTGTTCTCGACTTTTTTAACTTCACATAAAATATCAACATACAACAGGAAACAGTAAAACAATAGCTTTGTCGTTTTGTTTTTTTTTAACTGTATTTTAATGTTTGTATATATAAACATGATATTTACAAATCATACAATGAGCATCAGTTAGTTACGGAATAAAACATGTATTACCTTCTCACGAATGGTTAACAGAAAACACTCATCCAACACAGACATTACTCACAAATACCCTCCAGTAAGAAGTTAGTGTCCCCCTGGGAGTTGTAGCAGCCAGAGATCATGCGAGACCAACAGCATAAATGGATTCCTTTGTATTCAAATATTATGTGATCAGGTCTTATGTCATGACTGCAACATCAATGACGAGGACCAATTAAAAGAGTGGCCACGTTTTCTTATCCAAGTGCTTTGGTCATGGATAAGAAAGCCCTATTGCTGTGATAATCAACAGTCAGTGTTATCTGTGTTCACTCAGCCACTGATTAGGCACAGAGCTGGGGCCCTCTGCGAGAAAACTGATACTGTGTTTTCCATCCCTCACACTCTAAACACTGTATGCACCTTCAAGCACTGAGCAGCTCTCTCAAAAGACAATCACAATAAGCAACTTCCACCTAGGCATTCTTAGTCCATATATGAAGTGTCCACACCCTCGCCGTCGGGGTGAAGCAGTCTCCCCGCCAAGCGCTCAATGTCGTCGAGACTAAGCTGTCGAAGTGAACGTTCGTAGTCCTTGAAAAAGCAAAAATAGAACAAAATATTTAGAAACAGCAAATGTAAACTGCACACATAAATGTCACATTAACCAACCTGCCGAGTGTGTGATAGGTTAGCTACGTCCTAATTTAGGAGCAAGATACTGCAGCCTGTGCCTCCTTCCTAAATGAGAAGGTCTAGTTTCAGAGAGATCAAAACTAATAGTGCATTAACGCAAAGTCCTTGGTACTTGGTAAGTCAGATATTTCCTAACCTATCAGCAGAAGGTTGCCGTGAAATGACCAAATTGTAAAAACCAGTGTGAAATTGGGTTTTGAGTTTACAGTACGAGCTGTGAGGTTTTAAAATATATTTATTATGTAGTTCCATTTGCAGGGCCTATAAATAAACAATATCTATTCACAGTGAATGTAATTGGGAGTTTTTGACATACATGAACAGAAATTAAAACAAATCAACACAATTTGAAACACATCAAGTACTTGCAGTGCTATACAAGAACAAAAAGTGCAGCTCATTCCTGACTTTCATTATTGAGACCTTGCAGTGGCTTAGTGACAGTTAGTTAGGTGACATACTCCTGTGATAGCTGAGCACCTACATTAAATACCTTATAAAAATGATATGATCAGTTCCTAATTTTATGAGTGGAGCATGTTTGGACAAAGGATTGTGGGATACAGAGGGCTTCAGGAGGATAGACTGGTTGAGTTCCATATTTGGGCAACAAGAAGGCTGCCTTTCTCTGCCATATTTGGAGAAGATTTGACCTGTTAAATTGTATTCAGACTTTATATAGTCCAGTCTCTAAATTTAAAAGCAGCGTTTATACTAACAGAACAAGAGGCAAAAAATGTAAAACCACTGTCAAATATTTGTATTGTCAACACGCCAGAAAAAATAAATAAATTCTTTGCCCCCACCCCATAGAGTTAAACTAAAACACATAGTTGGCTCAAGAGCTTTTAAATCTGCATGTGATTACGCCCGTCTTAATGTTTTTAGTCTCCAGCCTCCACTGGTAGCAAGACATCAAAACATTTTACAATTTAGAAACTGTAAACATCCACATAAGAAAATGGATTAGCAAACATGATCCTGCTTTGACCTTACGTTACAAATGCACGGCAGCAGGCACGCTGTATTTAAATACCTTAATAAGCTGTTCGTGGACTTTTGCTGCATCTGCTGGACTAAAGTGTCTAGCGAGGATAGTGGACACAGTCTGCCAAACTCTCCCCTGTGTGCTGCTGCTGCTGCTGCTGCTGGCAACCATCCCCGACGCTCCAGTCCTCTCCCCCACTGGACGGATTACCAGATTCAATTTAGCCTCGGGCCCAATGGAGTAATCACTCAGTCGGTGCTCATCTGAGGAAAGAAATATAGTATGCAATCGTCAAAAATGTAAACGTTTGGTTCACACGGATCAGGCAACTGCAGTTCTGCACAAAGGTTATTAAAAGACTCAAGTCTACCTGCAAGCGCTTTCCCTTTATAGAGCAACCGCTGCTGGTTTGCTGGTATGTTGAGACGTTCGGACACAAGCTCCTTCACTGTGGAGACCTTTTCGTCTTCAGTCACCTGGAAGATCAACAACACGACGATGGATGAATTCTCTCTTTCTGTTTAGCTGAAGCGTATTTAAGAGTGTAGCCGATCTAAAAGTCTTACTCTGCATCAACTTTACATTAAAAGGGTTCATTATAATAGTAATAACAAAGTGACAAATGTGTTGCTACCTTGTAAATGACCTCTAACAGCCACTGGCCTAATAGTGGTAGTATTTATCCCATAAACACTGCAGGCTTAGCTGATAACACACATTAGAGTGAGCAGGTTTTGTTTTTACTTTCAGAGCCGAGCTGTGAGAAAAACTGATGTCTCGATCCCTGACCGAGAGTAAAATAACAGGATTTAGTCACTTCTCTTCTGCTGGATACACAATTTAGTCCAGTATGTGAGATACTTCCCCCTTTGGTGTCCACATCAAATGCTTCAGACTACCTGTAGAAGGCATCACTGTTTGTTTTTAATCAACTACACACTAAACCTCTACTGCAGTAAACACTACAGTGGGCCCTGCAGTCACATACTATGCTAATAAAGCTCACATAAGGCCTGCTGCTGCCTCCTTTGGTGCCTCATACAGTAACAGTATCATCTTAAAACATGGGAGGCACAAACTGGGGGAAAGGACTAACCTATAGCAATATAGCAAATAACACAGACCTTTGAGAGTAACTTGTCAGTGAGTAACGTTAGCTAAGTTACACTGCTGTGCCGGCCTAACAAAAAAAAAAAAACCCTCTTTCGTAAAGATGCTTTATTTAAAAGGCATTTGCTTGACCACTTCCGTTTCCTTCTAGGAATCACCAAATAAGGACATACGCAGTTCCAGCTCCCTGCGTTCGAACGCGGTAACGTAGAGGAGAGAAGTAACGGCGGAACGTCGGGTAACGTTACAGTTACCGTCTTCCTCAAGGATGTGGCTAGCGAGTTAGCCCGAGTAACGCCGACTCACAACCGACCTTTATCTGACAGTACAACAGCGCCATGTAAAGCTACACTGTGTGGAGTTTAACGACCCAACCGACCCCCTCTTTTTAGCCTCCCCCCCGTGTGGTTGCTTCATCGGTAGCTCGTGCTGTGACGGGACCGCCGCTGCAGGCTAACAGGCAAGCTAATGTCGCTAACAGGCGTTATAGGGAGGCAGCGGGCTTTAACTCACCTGTACGCTGCACTCTTTTCCTTGGAGCGGTTTCACGGTGAGGATCATTTTGGATGAGGCCCTGAACGAAGCACAAAGCACACGACAACAACACAACAATCCGCCTTCAGCTGCTCGGCAACACAAATAAAAATAAATATACACCCGAGTAACGTTACTTTGCTAGCTCGGGATAGCCACAGGGCTTCTTCTCTTGTCAGCGGCCCATCTTCTTCTGCGGCAGATGCGGACCGCTGCTGCTGTCGGGCGACATTACTGCCACCTGCTGGCGGGAGTGCTGTACGACTGCTCACCCAATATAAAAGACGAGGGTCACGAATTGTTTCCACTGTTTTGCTTCGAGATAATGAGCTGAGCTTTATTAAATATATAAATGTATAAATGTTTTTGAATCCACATTGAAAAAGCAAGAGGATTGATTCATCCAGGTGTTGTTGTTTTAGCTGACGTTGTTGTTGTTGATTTCATGATTTGTATTCATACAAAGTATTTGCGCTGTTAGCATTTTTTAGAGTCATAGTGTTGTAATATAATCTGTGTGTCTTGTGTCTGTTTTGTTTTGACTTGTTCTTGTTTTGTGCTTGATTTTTAATCTCAATGGGACCTTTCCTGCTTAAATCAAGGTTTTAAAAAAAATCATGGATTAAGTTTGGAATTTATAGAGAAAGCTTTAAAGAATATAATTAATATGTAGTTATTAGGCTACTAATTATTTATGTTACTAATTCTGCATTGTATGTTTCTTTGTGAAGCTTTGGGTGGCTGGTGCTATGCTGCATATAAAAACATTAATAACATGGATGTAACCTGTATGTCGTTGCTTGGGTCCTGTTGAACACAGCTTTTACATTAACCTTTAATCAGCCATTGTGACTACTGCTAATCATCATAACTAGTTTCAAAATAAAATTGCATCATATTTGAAAACACTAAAGTTGTTATCCTAACACCACTAAAGCATTATTTTTCAGTTATGTAGGTTTATTTATTAAATGAAACATCTGAAGGCGTAAAGGCGGGATCAGGATAGGCCATTTTCCTGTGCGCAGGTACAATAGAGGAAGAGTAAAACCTCTGATCAATGCTCACAGCCAGCCTTTAGTCTCTTTCACATGTGCAAAATATCTGGGGAATACAATGATTGATGTTCACCGTTCAGTTTTCCGGAGACCAGCCTATCTCCAGGGCTCGGAAATACCCCAAAGACCCTCTGACCCAATTGGGATCCAGTCCATGCATTTCTCATTACAGCCTCCCGGATGGTCTCCTCTGTCTTGGTCATGTGATTGCCTGCTGTCTGTGCCCAGCCCTGGCCAGCCCCGAGCAAGAGAGGAGCATCTTTCTCACTTGGGCGGGTACAGAGGAGATCTGCACCTGTCGAATGGACTGTCTGCTGCCAAACAGGGACAAACCTATTCAGGACAAGTGAGACAACGACTCCTACCACGCCAGACAGGCTGCAGGTGGTAAGTGATCGTTATGTGTGTGTGGTGTGAAATACAGCACGGCATTTTGCAGGACACAACATGCATCTGTATTTACAAACAGTCTATTAGCTGTCAGATTTGACTAACTCATTCATGCATTATGTAGATTGTGAATAATCGGTGCGTATGGCTCCGGGCGCGCTTTCGACCCAAAATGAAAACATCTACATTTATTCTTGCAGGGACACAAAGTCTCTGTGTGACTTAATAAAGAGTCTATAATAACCTTATCTTAATCTGGGGTGTTTTATCTCTTTGATGTGACTATAGCATCACTACTTTCTTGTCATTTTTACTCTCATATTATATAAAGTTTCTTTACATGTTTTATTTAATAAATTTTGCAATTAGGGCAAAAGGAAAAATAGACAAATACAGGGACTGCATAAGCATACTGTATATATAATGCATTTGTAAATGCCCTATCTATCTATCTATCTACTAAGCTGCCTGCTTGTATTTGTGTTTGTCTATATCAAGCAACAATGACTATATATATATATAAGAAGCACACAGCAAACTCTGTGTTTTTAGTCCAAGTAGAAGCTATTCTACCTTATTGATTCCCTGTTTATATTATAAATATTAATGATATTGCTATAAGTAATTATTACAGGAGGAGATGCAGATGAATTAGAGAAGGGCTGTGAAGCTTTGAGTTAAGTGAGATTGTAGTTGCAAAAGGGGACTTAGTGCAACTCAAAATCAGACAGAAATTGTACATTTAATGTAGTTGGACCCGCTCTATATGTATGTACACGTGCATGTTTGTGTGTAGAATTAGATATATTTTGCCGTGTTTTGCCCCCCGGTGTTTGCAGGTAATGGGTACACTTCGGGACCTCCAATTTGCCCTCCAACTTAAGATTGAGGAGCTTCGCCAGAGGGACACACTAATAGACGAGTTAGAGCTGGAGTTGGACACAAAGGATGAATTAATTCGGAGACTGCAGGAAGAACTGGATCGCTACAGGGCCACCGTCTCGCTCCCAGGAACCTCTGCAGCCAGTGCAGGTGCAGAACATGATGCTTTTATATGTCATATTTTAAGCAACAGGTAGCATGAGCCTTACATTTGACTCATTGTGTGTTTTTCCTGTAGCTTGCTCAGCTCAAATTGAGGACAAGCAGAGAACCAAAAGGAAAACAGTCATTTCTGAGCCCTTCACTCTGGACCCAGTGACTCTAGCCATGGTTTCACACAGAAGCTGTGACAAAAGCGAGGAGTAAGAGCACACAGTGTTCCTAACTGCTCTAACAGAAAAATGTGTCTCACAAAAGGCTTGCTGAATCAATAAATATTTTTTACTCATTTTCTAACTGTGTGGCTTGTGCCACATATACACATATAATAACTTGCCCTTAAATGTTTCATCAGTGTCCTGCCTTCATGCCCTCAGGTCTCAGAGGCTGATTCAGGCAGCGTTTTTGAAAAATGACTTGTTGAAGAACCTTGACGAAGGAGAAATCACAGCCATCATAGCTTGTATGTATCCCACCCCCATCAATCAAGGCTGCTATGTTATTCAGGAGGGGACCAACGGGGCTCAGGCTTATGTTTTAGAAGGTAAATACATTTTCCTCTTACAATTGCTAACATTAATCATGCTTGAGGATACGTATTAACATTTCCTGGAGATGACGGGTGCTTAAGGACAGTCCAATGAAATGATTAGGTTTATCATATCTTTGCATATCAATTGTCTTACTGATGGCTCACAGTTTGATTAGATAGTAATTTGACGCTGCTCTCAAACACAGTGATGTGAGAATTACATGTTTGAGCAAGCAAAGTGGAGGCACTTAGGGGAATAACAAGGGACCCACATGGACGTCTTGTGTTGAAATGTCAACTTGACACAAAAGACAGGAGAAAAGAGGTTCTGCTTTGCCCTGGTTGTAGAGTTCATCAGTGCTTGATTGTCCTCAGGAATCTTGGCTGCATTTGTAATGTGACAGCTAATGGATAGTGGCTGCTCGCTATTTTTCTCTTGTCATCCAGGCCAGTGAGAGGTGGTGGTCTTGTTTGGCTCAGGGGTGATTGCATATTTGTTGCTTGTACAATATGTCTCAGACTGCCCAAGGTCCTGAGTCTCTTTATTTCTTCACACAGAAACACATTCACATAACAGCTCTGCCTATTATGTGCTTGTTATATTTATTATATTTATTCACTTGCTGTGTGTGTGTTTATGAACAGAAGGGAGGCTGGATGTAAGAAAAGACGGATTGAAGCTTCTCACAATTGAGCCAGAAGACATGTTTGGAGAGCTGGCTCTCCTCTACAACTGCACCCACACCTACTCTGTCTCAGGTATCAAAGCTTTGTCTTGGTTTTTAAATTTGCATGCAGATATCGCTGGAGATCTATTGCACTGAAACACTGGTGGAGTTTTACTGTAATTAATTTTATTTGGTGGGAATATAAATAATTCTTGTTTAAGAGAATATCACAAACAGGCAGATTTCTGGCAGTGGTCTTGGACAGAAGACGTCTGTTGAATTTAAAATCAAAGACCTTTTGAGATCTTAGACAACACCACAGCTTCAAAAGGTTTTCTCAGAGATGTGGGGAATTTAAAACATTTTCTGCTTTAACCCAGCTGTCTGACTGCCACATCTCCCTGCAATCCAACATCCATCAGCTGAGTCTTTACAAATAACATTTTCAGAAATGGTTTTCTATTCAATTCATTCATTCTTCTCAGGGGTGGATCAAACCTATAATATATACATTTCTCATGTAAATAATTTAGGTTATATTCTTTAGAAAATATATAGTATACTGTCATTTCCTCCCAGCATCTTATCACAGACTCCTGTGGGAAAACTTTCTCAGCCATCGGCCAGGGTATCTGACCCGGTTTCACAAAAATAAATGGGTCTAGGCTGTGGAAACGGGCAGGATCACTTTAAACTGGAAAAAATCTGTTTATTTGCCTTGTTTGGTCCTTAATCATCTCATTCCATTTTTTGACTGCTTTCTTTATCTTGTGACCAGCCAGCCTTTCCAATTTACTGTACGTCTGCCCTCTGGTAACAATGCTCAGCTCATGTCAGCAGTCTGTTGTCCTTTGTTCCATGTCCATTTCTGTCAGTCCTCCCCTTGAATCTGTTCAGGGCCCGCTGGACTTATCTCCTTCCTGACCTGAAATTACTTTTTTTTTTCATTGTTGCCATCTGAGACCATCAATAAGGCTTGTGCTCATGTGGTCCCTTACACAGTGACAGTGATAAAGGTGCAGGTGCAAACAAGGTTTCATCATCAGGCCGTGGAAGTTGAGGGTGGCAGAGGATATACTGCAGAAAATGTCAGCAAACCCTCCTTGAGAGAAGGTTTCACTTAATTTTAACTAATTAAAAAATATCCTACGCAGCTTTCGGATCCAAATAAAACCCTAAATTACATGTCATATGGTGCTAAAGTGAAAACCGATGGAGTATATCCAAATGGGGGAATTGAGATATCAGGGCTGCACTATATTATCAGATGGTGGATCTAATTAGACTGTCGACTTCCATTTGCAGGAAGCTTCAGTGAACCAATCAATATGGGTCATTATTAATTTACAACAGCCTCTTTCCAGCTCTATTATAAAGAAAGGGTAATAATAGTTCAGGAAATCAGATTAGATCAATATTAAAAGTCCCTCTCTTTAAACACTTACACTTCTTTTTATTCTACATGATGAGCATTCTAATAGGGTGCCTGCTATAGCCTGCTCTTCAGGCTGTAAGCAGATCCTGCATTGTACATCCACATCTATCACTATCTGCATTGTCTTTGAGAGCAATCAGTGCTTCTTGATTGTGTTTCAACCTGAGCTCCAGTGCCACTGACGTAACCTTTATCAATTCCTCTGCCTCTTTCTTTTATTCCGCAGCACAAACGGACAGCAAGCTGTGGGTTATTGACCGCAAGAGCTATCAAACCATACTTATGCAGAGTGGTCTCAACAGCCTTTCTCATTCAGTGGAGCTGCTTAGCAGGTGAACATCAGACCGAGACAATTGATTTGACACGGAGCAGGTCCAGAAAACTGCTTTGTATTTCTGTGCCTTCAACACAGTGTCATCTGAGTCATACTGTCGCCCCAATGCTGCCTTTAGGCCTCTAACACTGTCTAAAATATAAATATTCCTATCATATGTTTCTGCTTAAGCACTCTGAAACTGCAGAAACATTAAATCAATTCCTTTTCAAACTTCTCATTATTGCTGATTGCTTTCTGTGTACCTGTGTGTCTGCAGCGTTCCCTTTCTGCAGTCGTTGCCAGAGGATGTCATCATGAAAATGTCCGATCTCATGGAGGAGGTACTTAAAATCTCATGCACAGTATTGTGTACCCATCACTCGTTCTTCAAACAGAATCCAGCCAATAGATTATGTGTGCATGCAGAAGAAACACGTGTAAACATGATTGTTTACCGGCTCTCCGTCTGTATTTTCTATTTTAAGCTTTCCTTGTGTTGCAGCAGTTAACAGGCAGGTGCTAGGGTAGAATCAGAATTAATCCTTCATTGTTAGCAGCCCTCATATTTATCTGTGGGAGAGCTGGTTCTTTTTTCTTTTCATCCTCTTTTTAAATTAAATTTCAATCTCCTCTGTCTGTCATTTATGTTCTGCAGACACACTACTCTGAAGGTGACTACATCATTCGACAAGGGGCCACAGGAGACACCTTTTATATCATTAGCAAAGGCCAGGTAAAGTGTTATGCTCTCTGCCTCTGTCAGCGCAGCTTTAGAAATTGCACTGTGCTGGTGATAATTGACTTTGGCACTTTTCTACATCGCTCTCAACCATTACCTTTTTTTTCATTACCTCTCTCTTTTGAATTTGCCAGGTAAAAGTGACAGAAAAGAAGGCAGGCCTTGAAGAGCAGATAGTCCTCTCTAAGCTCTCTGAGAGACAATGGTTTGGAGAAAAAGCTCTGTGGGGGTAAGGAGGAGATAATGCACTTTCGAAGAACATTACAGGACCCTTTTATGAGAGGAACACATGATAATTTGTGCCAGCATGATATAAATGATTTTCTTCTTATATTGTGTTCTTTGCATTGATAACATTATGATTTACTCTTCTTTAGAGAAGATGTTCGGGCTGCGAATGTAATTGCGGCCGGTGACGTCACATGCTTGGTCATAGACAGAGAGTGAGTGGAGAATATTTTGTGTTGATAAAATTCACTGCATAGAAATGTAACTACGCTATATGATAAATTGCTGTGCTTATCTAGGGATACCCATATGCTTCTGTGTTTCAGGACCTTCAAAGACATCATTGGTGGGTTGGTATTTGACTGCAGTCAGGAGCTGCAGCAATGCCATGAATCCAAAAGCGAGTGAGGAGCACTACAATGCTATTTTCCATAATAATAACATGTAATTTGCTCCTATAGAACACACAAGGTGTAGGCTCACCCCTGTTTTCCCTGTGAGCAGGTCAGACAAGGATCCTGACCTCCACTCATCTTCCACCTTAAGTGATTTCCAAATTATCTGCACTCTAGCAGTTGGGGAGTTTGGTCACGTAGACCTGGTAAGGGTTGATCTTATAGCAGCTCACACACAATGACACAAATCCCCATGTGCTGCTGCCTCCTCGAGATTCCATGTTTCTATAATGTAATCTATTGATTTCCACCGCTGTCAGGTGCAGTTTAAGAGCAACATAAAGTGTTTTTTTGCCATGAGGGTCCTTAAGAAGAAGCTGATCCTCAACAACGGTCAACGAGAGCACATCCTAAGAGAAGGGCGTATCCTAATGGAGATTCATTGCACTTTCATAGTCAGGTGTCTGTTCTTCTGCAGTTAAATAATTAGAATTGTCTTAAATACATGATATGATATATTATAAAAGATCTTTAATGTGTTTCTTTTTTTATTGATCACAGGCTACATAAAACCTTTAGAGATCCTGACTGCCTGTACATTTTGACAGAAGCTTGTCTTGGTGGTGATTTAAATAGTCTGCTCAAAGATAAGTAAGTATTGGAACTTGTACTTTTTGTCATTATACTGATACAATATTTATATTCCCCCGCCCCCACTGTGTTTTTAACCAAGCTTTCATCGCAATATATTTTGAAGATTGGCCAGGGTTTGATGTCTTGCATCTATCTACATCACACGCATGTTCTGTTCGCTGTGATGCTTAAATAAGCACTCGTACAAACTGTTTCAGAGGATATTTGGACGAATGCAGCACCAGGTTCTACACAGCTTGTGTTGTCGAGGCCTTGAGCTTTCTCCACTGTCGAGGTGTCATCTATAGGGACGTCAAGCCTGAAAATGTGGTCCTGGATGAGCGTGGTTATGCCAAACTGGTACTACAATTGGTTTTAAACCACATTTTGCCTATTTAATTTTAACAGAATTATAACTGTATAAATGTACTGATATCTGCCTTTTGTAGATTGGCTCCAGATGTCTAAAGAGGGTTGAGATGGGTAAGAAAACCTGGACATTCTGCGGTACACTGGGCTATATGGCCCCTGAAATCATCTTAAACAAAGGCCACAGTGTATCTGCAGACTTCTGGTCACTGGGCATTTTTGTGTTCGAACTTCTGAGTGATGGGTATGTTTTACAGTTTTGTGCAGCTCCAGCTAATTTTCTCAAGTTATAGATTAAAGTAACTGTGAAAGGCTCATGTTTTCCTCTCCAGGCTCCCATTCAGCGGCTCTGATCCAATAAAGATTCTCTCTGCAACCATTCGTGGCATTGATCACATCGACTTCCCAAAAACCATCAGCAAAAGTGCCTCCAGTCTCATAAAGAAGCTGTGCAGGTGTTGTAATGACCCACCAGACACTATGAATTATAATGTGAAAGCTAGAGACAGTTTTCTACTTATTTTATAAGGCTTTGTCAGGCATAAAAACCCTCCTCCATCCACCCACCATTGCAAACACAACAGAGAGAAGCTAATTAGGAAAGGATGCCAGTGTATTGGACACCACATGCACTGTAACACCACTTCTTGAATGACAGAATCGGATTATTATTTCATACTTTATTTATTTGTGCATTCTTATTCGCTTTCCATGACCAAGGAGCAATCCCTCGGAGAGACTGGGCAGTCAGAGAAATGGGGTCAAGGACATTCAGAAGCACAAGTAAGACGGCAGATTTATTACACTGGAGGAAAAACACTGCCGCCTGAGCTGAGAAAACATTGGTTTTATAGGTTGTGATGCTCTGTTTTTATTCAGATGGTTTGAAGGATTCAACTGGGACGGACTTTGTAAAGGCACATTAAACCCTCCAGTTATTCCCAAAGTAAGACTTTTGCTTATTATTTTTTGTTTTGTGATAACTCTTGTTTCATTAAATACTACTTAACATGTTGGAGTGATTTGTTTTAGTGTTTTTTTTCTCTGTTACGCTGTCTTTCAGGTAAAGCATCCTTCGGACAGCGGTACAAGTGCTCATTACACCCGGGGCCCAGTGGAGCTGTGCACAAACTGGGAGGATTTCTGAAGGATCAGCTGGGAAATTTAAAACAAAAAGCAACAACCTGTCAGACAATTCACAATCACTTTCAGGGTTAGTCCTCATTAAACTGCCCTCAGTCTTACTGCCATCAAGAATTAATTATATTTTCAGACAAAAAATATTTTCCACAGTATCAGTAACTGCAGATATTGTTTGATAAATGAACCATGCTGCCTACTGTGATGAGCTCAGACTGTTTTTTTGATGTAAAATGTCTTTAGATTTATATACTTAAGAGTTAGGTGATGTCTCGGCTGTTGAATGTAACTCAATAAAACAAATAGGCTGCACCACAGGGTGTCTTCTTTCCTCTGAAATCTCCAGTCTTACCGTGAGTCATTCATTTCTTTTGGCATTACAGTTCTGTCATGAGTTGATCTCGCCCCCAAAATCCATGAATATGATTTGGAGGTGACGTCAGACCCGGCCCAGTCTTGTAGAAAAGCGTCAAGTCTCAGAAAGATAGATCAACACCGGAAGTGGTTTAATTTGAAATTCAGAACAAAGGAACTGGATTCAATTGTTGACCACAAATATGGCGTGAAACTCGTGTTGTTTTAAAGGTGGCAGACTGTAATTTGGTGCGTGGTGTGGATTGATGAAAGGATGCTTCACTACCAGATTTAATTCATTGATCTTACAGTTAAAATATATATTTGCAATGTAGGCTATAATTTGTTCTGTTAAAGCATTCCTATTTCATCACATTTCAGTCTTAGAAAGCGGGATCAATATAACATAATTATTGTTAATTGTCTTGACACGCGCGCTTCCAATAGGCAATATGTTTTATTTTGAAATTTTGGACCGGAAATATAAGTCTATTATCTTGAGCTTGACGGCTGGACACATTTCGATGGCTCTGCTGCTGAAGTAGTAACTTTGGAGCCCAATCTAAGGAGACATTGGAGGCCTGAGTTAGGTAAGTTGCGTGTGTTCCTCTTCTTCATTGCTTCTTTTCTTTGTTGTATTGGTTTCCACTCGGTCCAGGTCGATTAAAGAAACATACCCAAACTATGAGGGTTTATTTTCCGATCTAAAAGTAAGAACAGTTTGAATGCAGCCCGCTGAGTTTCCAGTCTATCAAGCGGAAAGTTGGTTGTAGTCTTGGGATCAATGTGAAGATAAATCAACCTGTAACAAACTGCATTTAAAGAACTCAGTTTTGCCTTTAAACGACCCACTAATGAGATACAGACCTCAGAGCTGCACAGGTTCCAGTAATGCTGCATTCAAACACATTTAATGAAGTCTTAACAACAACTCCATTTGAGATGTTTTTTTTTTTTTGTCCATTGTGCCTTTATTTAACTGAAGCTTTAATTTATATGTGTAGAATTACTTTATAATGCAGAGACCTTTTGTCTAAGTGTAAGTGTGTAGGTTTTAGAGATATTATTTTTTACAGTTCACATTCTCTAAAGGAACTGAGGTGCACTTATGTGTGGCTGTCAACTTAAGCACAGTGCTGTGGTATTTTGTCCCTGATCCAAGCTGGGAATAATTATGGCTGTGGAGTGTTTCAGCCCTGAACTATAGATTTTCTGACATTCTTTAGTGAAATCACACTGCTGTCTGTGCCCCCATCTTGTGCCTGCTTTGGGTTTCTGTGTGCGTGTTGTTACTTTCTAGATATTGTAGGCCATGCAACATGTTTCAAGTTGTCCACACGGCTGGATGCAAGCCCTTTTGGCATCCGCTCTTGAGTGTTTGACAGTTACAGTGTAAGGTTACAGCGTGGCAGCTGAGGTTTTGGGTGGAAGATCTGCCCGGGACGCACAAAAACACTCACTGCTTTAAGAATGACCTATGAGGTGTGTGTGTGTGTGTGTGGCTAGACAAATCTAAATGTGGAAGACTGATCTTGCATAGTGGTGTTTGAACCTGTTGCTGATTAGTTTCATGAAACCAAAAGCTTCAGGCTGGAGGAAAAAAAGAAAAAAAGAAAAAGC